ACTCAGGTCCTTGGGGTTGCAGAGCCAGCTCCCCAACCCCTAAGAGTCCACTGAGTTTTCTACATAAATGATCAAGTTTTCCAGATGTTGTCGATTCCTTTTTAAATTTTATGTCAGATTTATTACCTTATGTATTTGGGGGCACATATACATCCACAGCACAAGTGTGGAGGTCAGAGGACAGTGCTAGGAATCCAGTTCCCTCTCCTCACCACGTGGATTCTAGGGATCAAACTCAAGCCTTGGTAGCTAGCACTTTACCTAGTGAGCCATCTCACAGCCTCCAGATGCTGTCAGTTTCTTTGTCTCATCTTACAGCACTATCTAGAGCAGTGTTTTCAACCTTCCTAACGCTGGGACACTATAATACAGTTCCTTAGGTTGTGGTGACCCTCAACCATAAAATTATCTTCATGACTGCTTCATAACTGTAATTTTGCTGCTGTTACGAATTGTAATGGAAATATCTGATATGCAGGATATCTGATATGGGACCCTGTGAAAGGGTCATGTGACCTGTTGTCTGCAGGTTTGGAGGCTTGGTTTTTATCTTCTAGACGTTCTGACTATTTTGTTATTTGTTTTTTGAGACTGGGCTCTGAAGGAGCCCAGACTGGCTTAGAACTCAAGCCAGTCTTGAATTCTTAAGACTGGTAGCATAGCCAGATGTGGTTTAATCCCAGCGCTCAGGAGGCAGAGATAGCTGGATCTGTGAGTTCAAGCCAGCCTGGTCTAGTTAGTAACTTCTGAAACAGCCAGAGCTGTCATAGAAAGAACCTATCTCAAAAAAAAAAAAAAAAAAAAAAAAAAGAACTCACTACATAACTAAGGTTGACCTTGAACTCATAACCCTCCTGCTTCTATCTCCTGCGTGGGTCTGCAGGAGTGTTCCACTACACCCAGGGTTTCAGTAAAAGGTTGCTATCAGACTGGGGGCATTCCATTCTATTTCTAGAGATTTACCCAGAGATTTCATCAAATATGAACACAGAAATAAAATGTCAGCAAGGCCCTCTTTTCTGGCTGGAACCATGAAGGCCTTTGCAGGGAAGAAAAAGAATGTTCCCGCCGTGCCAGGAAGCTTAAAAAAAAAAAAAAAAGGAATTTTCAGAGTTGAAGGTCAAGTGCCTGTAAAAGAAATTTTCTCAAAGGTTGCTTTGAAAGACAAGGAGAATCAAATCGTATCTTCAGAGGGGGGTGAAAAAAAATCTAAGCACAGGGCTGGAGAAATGGCTCAGTGGTTAGAGCAATGGCTTCTCTTCTAGAGGTCCCAGGTTCAGTTCCCAGTACCTATGTGGTGACTCACATCTCCAGTTCCAGGGAATCTGACGGCCTCTTCTGGCTTCAACAGGCACCTACCTGGCATACACACGGTGCACAAACTCACAAAGTATCCATGCATATAAATTAAAGGAAAATAGAAAAGAAAATAAAAGACTAAACACTATTACAAGGGACACCAGCAAGTGTACAGAATTGAGAGGTGAAGGGACAGAAAGGCAGAAAATGCTGGAGTGCGGGCAGTTTTACTGATGAGAGTATGCCTTGCCTTCGGAGGGCTGAATCAGCCAATCAGCCACCTCTATCTACCATGCAAACAACTTGGCTCTCCCTGGCCTTTATTTCTTGCTCTGAGCCTCATGAAAACCTCTTAGGCAGTCCCCTTGCATGTGTTCCTCTTACCCATCAAAACAATCAATGTTGCCCTTCCCATCTCCCTAGTCAGAGACTCAGTCTTCCCTGTGAGGTCTACTCTCCAACCCCTACCCCGAGCTCGTCCCACTGTTATCCGATCATCACAATTACTGGCTGGTCTCCTCCATGGGATTCAGTCCTCCCCCATCTCAGACCAAGTTGGAAAGTCAAAGAACTACGTTCTCCCAGAAATGCTACGTCCTCTCATTTCCAAAGCCCTTTCTGCCTCCCTTATACTGTGCCCATGAGGGAGAGTAGCTCAAGACCCTAAGAGAACAGACTCCTGAGCTAAGAGTATAGGTGTCTTTTCTCAACTGCCAGTGCTTAGGTTCAATTAAGGGTCTTTGAAGTGGCTGCCCAGGCATGAGGGTAGGGTGTGGACTCCCAAAGAAGGTCCTAGGGCCTATGGCAATTGTAGACTTTACAACAGGACCCTCCAGCTGGGTGCAAAATCCCACTATCTCAGTAAGTAATGGTTCCCACTGAGTAGGTTTTACAAGCTCTCTGAATCTGTTTGCTCACCTTTAAAATGTGCCCCGGCCCACGGGGATTCTATGAGACCTTAGGGAAGGGGGCGAAAGAATGAAGGGACAAGAGACACAAGGAATGAGAGCAAGTCTGGGGTTCTGATCAAACTCTGAAATATTCATTTTGGGTGCAGGTTATAAAGACACAGCAAACCAGTAAGTTTGGGTGAGGGTCATTGCTTAGGGCTATCCCACTATTGAATGCTTATAGTCCTAGACCATCCCATTGTCATAACAGGCTCCCAGGAAATGCCAGACGTTCTTTAAGTTCCTGGAGCCTGAGACCTGTGAACGTCCTTTCTTAACCTTGTACTTACTAGGCTTTCTAGAACAGCAGGGAACTTCCTGGGTTCTCTTAGAACAGCAGGTAGTTTCCTGGGTTTGGCTCCCGACAAAAATGAGATAAGGCAGGCAGGGGCTGGAGAGATGGCTCAGCAGTTAAGAGCACTGGCTGCTCTTCCAGAGGTCCTGAGTTCAATTCCCAGCAACCACATGGTGGCTCACAAACATCTGTAATGGGATCAGATGCCCTCTTCTGATGTGTCTGAAGACAGCTACAGTGTACGCATACACATAAAATAAATAAACCACTTTTTTTAAAAAAATGAGGTAAGGGATATAAACATACCAGTCTATAGGAAGTGAGTACCCTTAAGGCAGTGGTTCTCAACCTTCCTAAGGATTTAATTAAAACAGTCCCTTTAATTGAAACAGTTTATGTTGTGGTGATCCCCAAACCATAAAATCATTTCGTTGCTACTTCATAACTGCAACTTTGATACTGTTATAAATCACAATGTAAATATCTGATATGTAGTATATTTGATATGAGATGCCCTCCAAAGGATCGAGACCCACAGGTTGAGAAGCGCTGTCTTAAGGGCTCCTTGTTAAAAGCTATGGTTGTACTGGGTGCACTGTCAACTCAAGGCTTTTGCTCATGGGTTCCTCCCAGATAGGTGACTCAAAACTTTACCTACACTGGAGGACAAGACCTTGTGAGTTTCGGTCATTTCTGTAGCTGGGACTGTTTATATGCCTCTGCTCCAGATCCAAAGAAATAGTGGGGACCATGCTGGCCTGTGTCGGGAATCCTGGCTGCCTTCCCATTGATACTTCTCTCTGGTCCCTGGTGCCCTGGGTTTCTCCTCAGCTTCTCCTCTAAGCAGACTCCATGAGAATTCACCTGTGGTCTGCTCATCTCTTGTGCTCATGGCCTGGCGTCTGGCAAAGGTGGTAGTTAAAGTAGATCGTACAGGCCAGAGTGAGCCAGGTTTCTTTGGATTGGGTTACACTGAGGTATCAGCTTCTTCTCACATCTCCCTTGTCTGTGACAACTGAATCCATGTGGGAATAGAGACAGGATGAACACTAGAGGCTTGGCCTGGAGAGAACATGGAGCCACGGGACTTCAGGTCATTCACATGGATGAGGCAGAAGATGCTGGCCAGGAGTCACCCATTCCATTCTACCGTGAGCCCAGACACTTATTACCCAGCCAGCCCCGGCCCAGGCCCTCCACTGGAGTTCCTGGCATCCACTAAAAAGACACGGAAGTTTTGTTCCCAACCCATTTCACACAGTACCTGTGATGAGCCCAGAAGCTAAAAAATCATGAAAAGCAGTGAAGGAGCAAGGGGCTGGTGCACTGGTACTAATTCCTGTGGTGACTGAGCCTTTCTTAGGGCCATCCCAGAAGGCAGGATCCCAAACCCACCTGTGACACAGAGACCTGCCCCAGGCTTTAGGCTCAGGCCAACTGTTGGGAGCCGACTCTTAGCCAAAAGCGGCTATCATCTTTACAGCCATCTCGAGCCATATACCCTGACAAGAGACTTGTTTTCAACAGCCTGCAATAGCTGAGCACACTCTGATAAACATCTCGTTACACTGTTTAGTGCCCCCAGCTGCAAGGTGCACATGGTATCCATGGCTACAAGGCACGTGACGTAGTGGCTTCAGTTGAGCTTGTCCACGAGGGCAAGTCACATGGTAAAGGGTATAAATACCCAGGATTTCCTTTCTATGTGTGTCAGGAGAATAGAGGAGAAGATAGGAGAGAATACAGAAGGTGTGAGGAAAATATAGAGGAGAATATAGGATTTCCTTTCTAGAAGATGTGAGGAGAATATAGAAGGAGTGAGGAGACTGAAGGAGGGAGGAGAATATAGGAGAATAGAAGGTGTGAGGAGAATAAAGAAGAGACTTGAAGAGACTAGACCAGACTCTGTCTTGTATCTATCTTTTGCGTCTCTCGCACCTTTTTCACCCTTCCTCCATCCCCACTCTCTCTCTTGCTAGACCCTGACCTGCAGACCGGAGCAGCAGAACCGGCTGACCTTCACAAAGTAGCAGAACCGGCCATTACAAAAGAAACGGCTGTTACAGCCAACCTCTGCAGGATTCATCCCAGTCATGTACAAGGCAGAGTGGGACCCATACCTACCCCAATACCCCAGGTTTGTTTTCTTTCTTTCTTTCTTTCTTTCTTTCTTTCTTTCTTTCTTTCTTTCTTTCTTTCCTTCTCTCTCTCTCTCTCTCTCTCTCTCCCTCCCTCCATCCCTCCCTCCTTCCCTCCTTTTTCTCTTTCTTTTTTTTTGTTTGTTTTGTATCATGTTTTGAGACAGAGTTTCTCTGTGTAGTCCTGGCTGTCCTCAAACTCAGAGATCTGCCTGCCTCTGCCTTCCTCTCCCACTAGGAGTAAAGGTGTGTACCACCACTACTTAGTTCCACTCCCAGTTTTTCCAAGATACCAGGGAAATAATCAGTCTCCACCTCTAAGCTGTGCTCCAAGGAGGTTTATTAAGATTCCAGGGCTGAGAGCTTACACACAGGGAAGCAACAACACCATAGCTCTACAGGGCTGCCCATCAGGGGCATGGCAATGTTCCTGCCTTGGGCAAAACTCATGCACCTGCATTTGCCCTGTATGGGCCCTAAAGAGGCAGCACATCCTCTCCAGGGAAGACACACACACACCAGAGGTTTCTGTATTTGCCCACTATCCACGAGCATCTGCCCCATACCTCTGGAAATTGAAAGCCAGACCATCTGTCTGTTTTCTGACCTCAGCCGGGCTGGGGACCCACATCTGGCAGAACCACTGCTAGCCTACTCCATCAGTCTCTGCTCACCCCTCAAGCCTCATCACTAAAGTTTGGCTTGAATAAATTCCAGCAGGTTCTCCAACTGATTCTCCAGGCACTGCTCATCCCCGTGGTTCTCAATGACCCAGTCAAAGTTCCCAAAGTTGTCCAGGCCACATTCTGACTCAGCATCATCCACCCCTGGGAGGAAGAACAGAGGAGTCAGGCCCCAGCCCTCCAGACATCAGGCATCCACCCTGTGCCTCTCCTCTGAGAACCTCTGTGAGGTAGGTGTGGCCACCCACCACGGGCTGAGCTCCCAGGCAGCCCCTGAAGAAATCACTCCGCTTTGGCCATCACCTACAGAAAGAAGACTGGATCAACAACAACTGTAGACAACCCAAAAGGGCATCACACTGTTAGGCCAGGCTGGCATATGCGGAACTGGAGTTTGCTGGGAGGCTGTGTCCTCAGGGCTGAAAGCAGGGTGAGAGTGTGGCTCCTCCCACTCTTCATGGCCTTGAGAAAGAGACTTGACTTTTCTGGGCCAAGGCCCTCATGGGTCATGAGTACCGGAAGAGCCGTACCCACATGGTACTTGTAAAGTATGAGTCTGTAACAGGGAGTGTATAAAGCACCAGAGCCAGGCTGGCCTGCCAGAGCACCCAAGAGATAAGCTGTTAGCTTTATTAGATCTGAGTGTATCCAAGGAACAGTGACCTGGGGCAGGACAGAGGCCTCAGAACTATCTGCAAAGCAGATCCTGGGCTAGTACCACTGAGGCCCCTGGAAAACTTCCTGTCTGGCCCCATGAGTTATCTAGGGTTTGTCTACCTTGCTCACCAACCACTGTCAGTCCCCAAAGCCACAAGAATGGGGCCTAGTCAGAGAAGCCCCACTGGCCTTAACAAGACAGCCGAAGAAGATACCCTATGAACTTGACCTTCTACCAACCCATTCCTCAGGCCTTAGGTTCCCCTCTATAGACTCATACTCACTCTCCAGGCCTAGAGCACGGGGGTAGCTGAGCTATGTGCTGAACCATGAGGATAAATGGCTATTTGCAGCCTACCTGGTGTGAACACCCAGCCCCGTTGCTGTCGACTCTGCTCCGAGGCTACTACTCGGACTGTGTGTGTCGCAGCCCCATAGGCCTCCTGAAACCACTGGATGTCAGACACCCTCCGTGTGTCACTCACCAGCTGCAAAGAAGAGACACAAACAGGTGACCATTAGGACAAAGTGCTTGTATTGACTGGTTTTGTGTGTCAACTTGACACAAGCTGGAGCTGTGTCCAGAGAAAGGAGCCTCCCTTGAGGAAACGCCTCCATGAGGTCCAGGTACAAGGCATTTCCTCAGTTAGTGATCAAGGGGGGAGGGATAGCCCATTGTGGGTGGGGCCATCCCTGGACTGGTAGTCTTGGGTTCTATAAGAAAGCAAACTGAAGCGGGGGAGGGGGGGACGCACGCCTTTAATCTCAGCACTTGGGAGGCAGAGGCAGGCAGATTTCTGAGTTAGAGGCCAGCCTGGTCTACAGAGTGAGTTCAAGGACAGCCAGGGCTATACAGAGAAACCTTGTCTCGAAAAACCAAAAAAAAAAAAAAGCAAACTGAGCAAGCCAGGGGAAGCAAACCAGTAAGTAACATCCCTCCATGGCCTCTGCATCAGCTCCTGCTTCCTGACCTGCTTGAATTCCAGTCCTGACTTCCTTTGGTGATGAACAGCAATGTGGAAATGTAAGCTGAATAAACCCTTTCCTCCCCAACTTGCTTCTTGGTCATGATGTTTGTGTAGAAATAGAAACCCTGACTAAGACAGTGCTATAGGAAACGAAGGCTGGGAAGCGGGGAGGGGCAGGTGTATAGAAGCCAGAGCAATGGTACAACTCACTGAATGAACACCTCTGAGTACTGCCACCTGCCAGGCAGCAGGATCACTCAGCTGCAGTTCTTAGTAAGGGGCATTGAAAATATGCACGGTGCCAGGCACTTAGGATGGTATCATAAGCGAAATCCACCTTGCTCTGCTCTTTTGGAGCTGGAACATACAATACAATTGCACAAGATGCAATACAAGACGCACAGCAGCTTTTCCAATTATCAGGGACCACAATGCAGACTGATGAATGTCCGCCCAGAGCTGGTGGAAACATAGTTCCTCAACTCCTGACCTCGCCAATCCTGAACCTTCCTGTCTCTACTCAGAATAAAATCCTTGTCTTTCTACCCCAGAACCAACTTCATCACCTACTCAACTCTGAGTGGCTCTATCCTTAAAATCCATGTAAAACTGGCCCCTTCTCAGGTCTCTCACAGCTCTGAGGCCAGCCTGTCACTAGCCGATCACTTAGGACCATCCACTAGGCGGCTCTGTTTCAGCTCTTGCCTGCCCTCCAGCAGCCAGAGCAAGCCTGTTAAATCCTTTGTTTGGTTTTGAGACAACGTATCACTATGTAGCCCTGGCTGGCCTCAAACTTGTTACATAGCAAAGGCTAACCTTCAACTCCCTGCCTTTGCCTCTTGAGTGTTAAAATTACAGGCATGTGTGCCACATCTATAATACCAGATGTGGAGTGGGGTGTGTGTGCGTGTGCATGTGCGTGCATGTGTGTGTGTATGTATATAAATAATTCAAAGGAGTCAGCTTTCTCCTTCCATCATGTAGGTCCTGGGGAAACTCAGGCCTTCAGGCTAGACAGCAGATGCCTTTATCCACCGCGGCATCTCACCAGCCCCCCACCTGGCTTTTTTTATGTGGGTTCCAGGGGATTTGAACTCCAGGGCTTTATCCATTGAGCCTTCTCCTGTCTCAGGTCTTCAACCCCACTCCTTCCAAGAACTATGTCCAGATACTAAAACATGCTCCACCATTGGCCTACACTCTATTAATTAAATTGCCCTTTACTTCCTAAACCATGTCTTTCCTCTTCTCAGAACTTCTTAGTGACTTCCACTCTTCCAAAGCCTTATATGCTTTGCCCTTAACCTCCCATGGGCTACCCCAATGGCTGTTTCTCAAACATAGCAAGATTGGACCCCTCTCCAGCCTTCACACTCCAGTCCCTCTTTCTAGAAAGCTACTTCGCGCTGGGCAGTGGTGGTGTACGCCTTTAATCCCAGCACTTGGGAGGCAGAGGCAGGTGGATTTCTGAGTTCGAAGCCAGCCTGGTCTACAGAGTGAGTTCCAGGACAGCCAGGGCTATACAGAGAAACCCTGTCTCGAAAAACCAAAACCAAAAACAAACAACAAAAAAAGTGTCAGAGTAAGTCAGGTAAAAAGGTCAAGAAAAGCCAGGCAGTGGTGGCCCACGCCTTTAGTCCCAGCACTTGGGAGGCAGAGGCAGGTAGATTTCTGAGTTCCAGGCCAGCCTGGTCTACAGAGTGAGTTCCAAGACAGCCAGGGCTACACAGAGAAACCCTGTCTGGAAAAAAAAAATTTAATTAAAAAATTAAAAATAAAAATAAAAAATAAAAAGGTCAAGAAAGGGCAGCCAGGCAGGAAAAGACACCCAAAGGTGTGATCTGCCAGGTACGGTGGTACTACATTTAATTCCAGCACTTGGGAGGCAGAGGCAGGTGGATCTCTGTGAGTCTGGGGCCAGCCTGGTCTACAAAGTAGCTGGCCAGGGCTACATAATAAGACTTTGTCTAAAATAAATAAATAACAAAGGAAGGAAAGAAGGAAGGAAGGAAACCAGGCAAGAAGGAAAAGAAGCAAAGTCACAACCGCATGACTGATGTAAGAGAAGCTGGTGGCTACAGATCTGTTGGGATGGAGAGGAATGCCGGAGTCCAACATTCACATCAAAGCTCAGACTTTGTTTGGAAGAGTGTGGGGAGCACCAGCGCATTCTGGATATGCCATTGATACATGACTTACTTTTATAAAGTCAATCTGGCTCATGTCCATAGATGGCCCACAAAGGCAAGAGACATCAGAAGAGGACTTCTGAAATGCTAGTGATGTGGCCAGAAGGTGGTAGTGAAGATGAGAGATGGCCACAGGAGGGGGATGGGAAGACCTGTTTTGTACACCGAGGCAGAGCCCCCTTACCCAGATAGGCTGGGACACGCCTTCCACAATCTTCCGGCAGAAGAAGCCTGGGTCAGCCTGGCGCTTCTCCTCCCCCCAACAGATCATGTCCCTCCGATAGGTCTCCTTATAGGTGCTCGAGTCCAGAAGTCTCTGGAAGTCCAAGCCATGTTCCTGCAATGCAAGTCCAACTATGACACAGTCCTTTCTGAAATGGGAAGAACCAGCCCTGCCTGGCACCTCCCTGCACAGTCACTAGCCAGCTTGGAGAGTGACCAAGGCCACAAAGAAGAGAGTCTTACAAAGGGAGAGCCCCAAGATACTCAAAGCTGGGAGGTCTTAGATAGTTCCAAAATTGTTGGACATGTGTGGTGTCCTTTTTCTCTTCTAAGGGTTTCATCTTCCCAATTATTTCTGGCTTAAATTAATCTTGAAGTTAGTTTGCAACCCCTGGGCACAGCCTTGGCCTATTACATTCCAATCAGAAATCTTGTATCCTGGCATTTTTCGCTTCCATCAAAAACCCCAGAGAGATATGTGTCGCCCCTTCTTCTCCTTCCCCACACCCAAGGTTCTGGCACTTGGCTGAAACAGCATTGCTTCATTTGGCTCTGGGCATTCCTCGGAACTTGTATACCCAGAGGAACCCTTAGACAGGAGGGGCTACCCTGACCCCCAGGGAGCTGCTTCTAGGCCTTCTATCCCCTTCTCCAGACACAATGATAGCAAAGGGTCCACCCAGAAGGCTCCAGAACAGAAAGGCGTTCTCAAAAATATAACCCATAGCCAGGCAGTGGTGGTTCACATCTTTAATCCCAGCACTCAGGAGGCAGAAGGGGGTGAATCCCTGTGAGTTTGAAGCCAGCCTGGCCTACCAAGAGAGTTCCATGCCCATCAGAGATATATAGTGAAATCCCGTTTCAAAATAATAATAATAGTAGTAGTAGTAAAATAATAACAAGCAAAATTCAAAAGAGATACATTCATTTACAATAAAAAAAAATTTCTTCCCTTCTTCCTCTCCCTGTGGCAGCCTGCAGTTCCTATGGTGTCTTTTCTAGCAGTGCAGAAACTCACATCTGGAACATCCATCACAGCTGGAACCGTGGTCAAAGGGGCAAACACCATATACATATACATATACAGATATATATACCCACATAGATATATATACACATAGATAGATACAGTTATATCTATATATTCTTGAAGAAGTCCTGGATATAGGAGCAAATATACTTATAATTTTTTTTGTTTGAGACAGGTTCTCACACCATAACCCTGGCTGGCCTGGACTTTCTTTGTAGACCAGGCAGGCCTCAAATTCAGAGAGATCTACCTGCCTCTACCTTCTAAGTACTGAGATGAAATGCTTGTACCACCATTCTCAGCCATTAGTATGGTTTGTCCCCACCAAATCTCCTGTATAGCCTTGACCCCAGTATGATGGTTTTGGGATCTGGTGCCTCTGAGGGAGGGCTAATGAGTTCCCACTTCTGTGTACTAGACTGGTTATCCTGAAAGTACATCGTTATATAAGGATCCAGGCCTCTCTCCTTGCTCCTGTTACCACGTGACATTTCTTTTGTCCACTGCCCTTCTACCATAAGCCCCTTACCAGAAGCTAAGAGGATGCCAACATCATGTTCTTGGACCTTCACAACTGTGAGTCATTTATCTCTTTTCTGTACAAAGTACCCAGTCACAGATGCTATATTATACCAAAGCTAAACTGACAAGGACATCTGTACACTGCCCTGCATCTTGCTTTCAGCCTACCTAACAATGTGTCTTGACAATTCATGTGACTAAATTTCTTTAGGGGAGCCGGGCAGTGGTGGTGCACGCCTTTAATCCCAGCACTTGGGAGACAGAGGCAGGCGGATTTCTGAGTTTGAGGCCAGCCTGGTCTACAGAGTGAGTTCCAGGACAGCCAGGGCTACACAGAGAAGCCCTGTCTCGGAAAAAAAAAAAAGAAAAAAGAAAAAATTTCTTTAGGGGAAAAGGTGTGTCCCTGTGCGTGTGCACACTTTTGCAGGTTGAGCAACCTCAGATGCTGCTCCATCCACCTTGAGATTTTTATTTTGTTTTTGAGATAAGGTCTCCCACTGGGACCTGGACCTCACCAATTAGGCCAAGCTGGCAAGCAAGCCACAGAGATCTGCCTGTCTTTGCCTCCCCTAGTGCTGGAATTACAGGTGTGCAGTACTGTGCCTGGCTTTTTATGCAGGTATTCAGGATAGAACTCAGGTCATGGCAAGCATTTTATCAACTGCACCATCTTCTCAGGCCCTGAGAATTCCAGGGTTGCATCAGGCCAGCTGGGTGGCAGAGTATGCTAGTCCGACATAGTTTGAGAAAAGGGGATTATAGTACAGATCCTTATTAGTGAGGAGGCATCAGAGCTGTCAACTCAAGCGCCTACCGGGACCCCTTCCTTTTCTTAGTTTGTTTGTCCTTAAGATAGGACCTCATATCTAGACTCTCTTGAGCCAGTGACTCAAGTGGTACCCATTGCTCCAAGAGCAGGCTCCTCCCAGCACCCCCAGATGCCACAAGCCACCACCTACCCGAGCATACTGCTCCTTGAGTGGACCAGAGAGCCGCAGGACAGCACAGATGTTACCTCCAAGTCTATGGGACAAGGAATCAGAACCCAGTTAACCCTGTGCTGCCAACAGTCTCCAGTGTCCTGAAGAGGAGTCCAGTGCCTCTGTTGCTCATTTCTACCACAGGAATTTCTTCTCTTGGCCTCCCCTTCTCCGATCCTCTTTGCTCATTTATAAAATAATAACATCATCTGCCCTACAGTCACATAGGATTATTGCAAAAGTCAAAGGAATATAAAGAAGCCCTGAACTAACAGGCAGAAGGTATTGAATAAGTGCCATGGGAAATTTCAGGCCTACTGATATTCTGGTTGGATCAGGTTTCTGCTAGGACTCCAAGCTCATTCTCTCAGAGCCACAGAGACCTTGGTATACATTGACCTGGTCACTACAACATTAATAATTTGCCCTTTGAGTTACTTGGTGTACTTACAACTGTTTCCTGTGTGCTATTCTTGGACCCAAGCAATACCAATGTAAGAGTCACAGTTCTACCTGCACTAAGATGTTCTCGAGTGCATTTAAATACTTAATGGTGAAATAAGTGCTCCCCCCTTTAAAAACATTCCTTTGGGGTATGGGGGCTCAGAGGACGATTTTCAAAAGTCAGTTCCATACTTCCTTGACATGAGCTCCGAGTCAGGCTCACCTTTGCTGAACCACCTCACTCGCCCATTTCTTGTTCCAGATGATGAAAATGAGGCTGAGTGAAGAAAGTTAACTAAAAGTGACTTTGTGGGCAACAAAAACAGTAAATTCACATAGCCAACACTGTATTCCTGGCCAAGAATCACTCTATTTGCAGTGTTGGCTCCTTGAATTCTTCTAACCATCCCATATAATGCCCATTTACCAATAGGCAGAACTGGAATAGAACAATAAGAAGTCTGTAGCAGACCATACACTAAGCACCGAGCCAGGTTGTGAACTCCCAGCAGCCAAACCCAGCGTCTAGGCTTCTGGATGTTCTTCTGACCATGTGTGGAACTAAGGGCAGGTAAACTTAGACATTGATGGTGATTATTTAGTGATGAAGGTTTGGGGTAATAACCTCTGCCCAGGACTCCCCTGAACCTCTTGGAACGACTATGCCACCTAACACTTGGTTCTCTCACCACGCCGGCCTTGGAGAAGAGCCCCACGGCTCTTTCTCCTCTTTCCCTGCTTTCCTAGCCCAAGTTCCCTAGAATATCTTATCACTTAAGAAAACTAGAAGGCTGGAGGAAAGGCAAGCCTCATAAACCTAATGATCTTAGTCCAACCCCTAGGACCCACGCTTTTTTAAAAGCTGGAGGTGGGGCTAGAGAGAAGGCTCAGGGGGTTAAGAGCACCGGCTGCTCTTCCAGAGGTCCTGAGTTCAATTCCCAGCAACCACATTGTGGCTCACAACCATCTTCTCACAACCTCTCTGGTGTGTCTCAAGACAGCTACAGTGTACTCACATAAATAAAATAAAAATAAATCTTTAAAAGCTGGAGGTGGGCCAGGCATGGTGGCACAGGCCTTTAATCCCAGCACTTGCTGTTCTTACAGACTAAGGCTCCATTCCCAGCACCCACCATGAAGGCTCACAACCCTCTGTAACTCCAGTTCTGGGGATCATATGCCCTCTTCTGGCTTCCAAGGACATGTACACACACCAAAGCACAAACCCACACCTATAACATAAATACATCTTTGAAAATAAATAACTAGAAAGGAAGGACAGAGTGAGTGAAAGGTATTATTTTCCAGGCAGACAAAGCTGAATTTAAATCCTGGATTTGCTACTTTATAACCCTAGCAAATTTTAACATTTTAATACTCAAAAAATTCACCATGCTGTCTACTCTGGCCTTGAACTCCTAGGTGTATAAACTTTCCCTGCTGCTGCCCCCCCCCACACACACACACCAGATTTTAGCTCTTAAGGGCCCCTGCTTCTGCATCTATGACATGGGATTGCCAATATCACTATTTGGTAAAGAAACTATGTGGGTTATATGAGATGACACAGACTCACAACGTCTGACATAGAATATACCCTAAATTCCTGCAGGGTGTTCTGTACAGATTCTCTTTGGAACAGACACACTCAGGACGTGGTCTTGAAAAAACCCTTAGTCTCCTTATCTACACCAGTTACCGCACACCAGAATCATGAAACAGGAAAGGCACGTTGAAGGTGCCTGAATAGTAATAGTAATTCATGTTTCTTGATGACAGAGCTACATCTTCATAGTTCTGCAGAGGCAGTCCCCTGGTTCTTTGAGGGGGACATGTGTAGGCTGCTATTTACTGACCGCGAGGATCTACCTTCTCCTGCCCTGTATCATCCTGTCCCTCCTCGCCCTCAGCGAGCTCCCTCCATCACTTGCGGTAGCGCCCTTCCTCGGTATCCCTGCACCCGCGGACACCTGCTCTGCAGCCTCTCGGTCACGAAGTCCTTCCCAGATTTTCTCTTCCCGCTAAACAACAGCACCAGACGCGGGGAGGCTCCGAGCGGGGCCATGGGGACACCAAGTTTCACCAGGCCTAAAGTTGACACTTCGGACCCGAGAAATCCTGCCGAGCACGAAGTGGACCCGCCCAGTAGGAGCAGAAGGGAGGAGGGATTCCGCCCCTTCTCCACACTACACAGCCTAAGTCGAAACCAGCGCACAGAGAAAGGGCGAAGAAACCGGAAGGGAAAGAGCCTTGCAGCCTGATATCTAAGTCTCTCCCCCCCCCTGCAGCATGCACTTAGAACAGTCCACGCCCGCCCAGATGTGACGTCATGGTCCCGCCTCCTCGGCTGACTCCCTGAGCTGAGAGGGACACTGCGTGCAAAGACTAGCTTCACGTTCCCTTCTACACAACCACACCAACATAAAGATAAAGAAAAATAGTAATTTTGAAGGCATTTTCAAATCTGCCTTTTAATTAGTACATGTTAATTCATGCTCTAAAGCAGTACGTGTTTACTCTCACTAAAAGTAGCTCTTTCCAAAGAAGTAACCAGACAATGACATGATAGGGTGTGTTTCTTGACGTCATAGCGAGGGAGGGGCTTGTTGAAGAGTATGTTATTTCACTTTTGGAAAGGTTTTGTAACTGCTGAAGCCACCAGGCAGATCTAAGTGATCTCTTCCTAAGCCACATCCTCTTCTCCAAAGCTTTTCAGAATCTAGAGAGAGAACATAGGTGACGTTAGTAGCTTAGGTTAAGACGGAGCTTTGACGCCACTCTGATTACCCAATTTCCTCTGGAGCCACACGTTGAGAGGCAGAATTAGGAGTGTTCTGACACCCACTTGCTGTTATCTGTAGATTTAAATTGCTGTCTTAATCCCAGCACTTGGGAGGCAGAGGCAGGCAGATTTCTGATGTGTCTTGAAAAACCATAAATAAATAAATAAATAAATAAATAAATAAATAACTAGCTAGCTGTTTTGCATCTTTCTAAGCTTATCAAAATAAAGCCTGCAACCTATGACTGCCTCCATTGTATGGACTCTGCAAAGTCTTGTGAAAATCAACGTAAAACATGAAGAAACCTCTTTGGAAAATCACTTCCCTGCACATTCGACAGAGGTTCAGGGCCGGGCAGTGGTGGCACACGCCTTTAATCCCAGCACTTGGGAGGCAGAGCCAGGTGGATTTCTGAGTTCAAGGCCAGCCTGGTCTATGGAGTGAGTTCCAGGAGAGCCAGGACTACACAGAGAAATCCTGTCTCAAAAAACCAAAAAAAAAAAAAAAAAAAGAAGAAGAAGAAGAAGAAAAAGAACACTGGCTGCTCTCACATCGCCCCCATCTGGCCACTTATAACCAGCTGTAACTCCAGTTCCAGGGGACCTAAAGGCCTCCCTTAGCCTCTGTGGGAATTGCATCCACGAGGTACACAGGCATACGGGCAAAACATGTAAAATAAATCATTTTAAAATGAAGAGGAACAGGAGTGGTGAGGTACAGAAAGAACAGACTCCAGAGGATCGCCAGAACTGCACTCATAGGCTGAGGAGGCCCCTCAGTTGGTAGAGTGCGTGCCTAAGCCGGTAGGAAGCCCTAGGTTTGATGGCCAACACTAGATAAACTGGGTTTAGTGGCAAGTATCAGCACTGGAGGTGGAAGCAGACAAGTTCCAGGCCAGCCTGGGCCACAAATAAAAAATAAAACAAAGAGAAGGAGGTGAGAGGCTGGGTAAACAGAGGAAAACATGACTGTACAACAAAATACTTTGTAAACTTTAAAGTATCCACTCACAGCCGGCTGTTAAGCACCGTGATTTCATAGTTTGTAAGTTGGCACATTGTCCAGCCCCTCTGCAATAAACATTTCTCTGAGTTCCACTGAAAGCTGGCTCTCACCAGGCCAGCGAAACCTATATAGGGTAAAATCACTTCTGGCCTCCTGCTCAATAAGTCCTCACTCAAAAGCAATCAGAACTTCCACCCAGAATTCTGAAGTTGCCTGACCCCTCCCTCCAGCCCCGCCCTGGAATCAAGTTTCCCTGAAATTCTAGTCCCTTTTTTTTTTTTGGTTTTTCGAGACAGGGTTTCTCTGTGTAGCCCTGGCTGTCCTGGAACTCACTCTGTAGACCAGGCTGGCCTAGAACTCAGAAATCCACCTGCCTCTGCCTCCCAAGTGCTGGGATTAAAGGCTAAAGGCGTGTGCCACCACTGCCCGGCGGAATTCTAGTCCCAATTACAAAACTTCCTAATTTATTTGCCTAAGCCAGGCAGTGGCGGCGCACACTCTTGATCCCAGCACTCAGGCGTCAGAGTGAAGCAAATCTCTGAGTTTGAAGCCACAGGGTAACTCACAGCTGTCTGTAACCCCAGTTCCAGGGAATCTGACGCCCTCTTTTGGCCTCCACAGGCACTGCATGTATATGGTACACAAATACACATGCAGGCAAAACACACACAAAATAAAGTAAGAGGCCGAGAGACTTGTGTCAAGGTCTAGATCTCTAAATGATGAGACCAGCTCTGTCTGGCTCCAAAACCAGATGTTTTCCAGTCCAGGCATGGACATTTCCAGTCATGGATACGCCTGTCCAGCCTTCACAGGCAGGCCCAGCCCCTTCCCTCTGCTTCTTCCCCAAAAACTGCATTCCATGCTTTCCTTGGATGCTTGAAAGCATATCAAGTGTTACCAAAGGCAGAGCCAGGCACAGTGCGGGTGGAGTTGGCCGGTGTCCCAAATGACTGATCAAGAAATGAAGGAATGAATGGGTGCTCCATGGGGGAGACTAAGAGGTCAGGACTTTCCCCCTAAGGTTAGAGGGGACCTCTACGGATGGATATACATATCCAAGACTAGCACTGCACAACCCCATATCCAGTTGCTCAAGGTCCTGGGACAGCTACCTGAGGCCCCTGCTTCCCTGCCTCCCTCCCACCACCCCCCTACCTGAGCAAGTCCCTGCCCACTCCAGCCTGCCCTGCTGCTGCCACCCTCTGGTCACAACCACACTTCTCTCTGCAAAAAGCTATCTGTAAGGAACAAGAACCAGGAGCCTAACCTGTAGCACATAGCTCCTCCAGACCTCAATTCAGAGTCTAAACACAAGGACTAGTGTGTGTGTGTGTGTGTGTGTGTGTGTGTGTGTGTGTGTGTTGATGAGTGGGAGGTGGCGGGCTGGAGGGGAGAAACGAAGCACACTCATACATTCAGCCTGAGCTCAGCTGCCCTGGGCTCTTGGTCTGACCCTGTCCTAGCAAACTTTGGGAGCCTGCACAAGTTGCTATTCTCTGGGCCTTTCTCCACCTCTGAAATGATGCTCAGTAAATCTCTTCCAGAGCTGACCGCCGACCCACAAGCCAGAGCCGCTGAGATGGAAGCTGGCAGACAGGGGAGATGCTTCCCTAACCAAGAGCCCAAGGAGCGGAGACTTGAAGCTTCTTTTGTTTCTTCTCCAAGTGGCAAGTGACACGCATAGATCCAGGGAGCGGAGCCAGAGAGCACACAGTAGGGCTGAATGAAGCTCAGGGAAGTGCTGGCCCAGTAGACCAAGGTAACACAGTGTGAGTTCACATCTGACTGCCTACCTGACTCTGTGCAAGATAGGGAGGCCACAGTCCCCTGTGGTCTGAACACTGCCTGGGCCCTCTCTCTCTCTCTCTCTCTCTCTCTCTCTCTCGCTCTCGCTCTCGCTCTCGCTCTCGCTCTCGCTCTCGCTCTCGCTCTCGCTCTCGCTCTCGCTCTCGCTCTCTCTCTCCCACACACACACCCCAAGTTTTCTTCTCCTATTAAAAGAGTCTCACCCCCTTCAACATCTATTTCTCAGTGAGATAAAAGAGGCCTGGCAGTAGTGATCATGTCCTTAATCTCAAAAGAGGCAGATCTCTTGAGTTCCAGGCCAGCCTGGTCTACAGAGTGAGTTTCAAGACAGCCAAAGTTACACAGAGAAACCCTGTCTCAAAAAGCAAAATACAACGACAGGAAAAAAAAAAAAACTTGAAAAGTTAATAGTCCCTGCGAGCCCCTTCCTAGCAAGATGCCTGGGGGAAGGTCTACTGTCATAGTCTGAGCAGGCAGCCCTATTCGACCTGGCCCTCCAACATTCCCCTCTCCACCCCAAGGCCATGCGGCTTCAGGTTTCTGCTTGTTCTCTTTGAGTCAGAATAGGGTCTCAGCAATGACCTCAGGGACTGACGCAGCAGACTCTGTTGGGCACCTCCCCCACGGGGTCAGTGAAGGTTAGTATCTTAGGTTAGTAACAACTTCTATCACACCCTCCCTGCCCCAGAGGAGTGAACAGGAGGTGTGAGGAATGTCATTGTCTAGGGACAGCTTCAGACTTTGGAGAAGGGTGGAGGTTGGCCAGCCTTATTGTAAACCCAGAACCTCCCCACCCATCCCATCCCATCCCATCCCACCCCATCCCACCCCATCCCACCTCATCAAACCAGCTTTTGTTTCCCTCCCCCTTTTCCAACGCTGTGTGGAGGCACAGTCATCTATTTGTCCCCAGGCTCGGAGGCCAAGTGTCCTTGATTCCTCCTTGTCCATATCCTGTCCAGACTGGCCCATGCTAAATCACACCCTCAAACAAACACAGGCCAGCTCCTGTGTCCCATCTCTCCATTCTTTAGGCTTCCGCTCTCCGCGTGCTTCCCTTGCCCTCCAGTGCCTTTGAGAGCACTTCCTATACGGAAGAGCCCCCTGGGACCCACAGGGTGTTCCTCCCCACACTCACACCCAAGCTCACCTTTGCCCCTCCTGAAATCCTCTCCCCCACCATACAGGGCTCTCTTTCACCAACTGTCTCAGAGGCCACTCTCCAGGTCCTTGCCGTGCGTCAGCAGAGGCTTCCTGGCAGCATTAAGCAAATACTGCTAGCATTTTGCTTGTGTTAAATTAATCCAGTTAGTATGAGGGGCAGGAAGCAGGGTTGTAGCCAGGCTTGAGAACCAGTGCCCTCTCCTCCCTGTCTGCAGCTCACAGGCTCTCCTGGGTTCCCTAGAGGTCAGAATTAAAACCACCGCTGACTTTTGGTTTCATTTTACTTTGAAGTTGATTACAGATGATTGTGAGGCACCACATGGATGCTGGAAATTGAACCCTGGGCCTCTGGAAGAACCAGCTAGTGCTCGCAACTCCTGAGCCATCCCTCCAGCCCCAGCAACAATACAGTTGGACCTCTGTATCAGTGTGTTCCAATCTATGGAGTCAGCCTACCCCATAGTAAATATTTGAGCATACATGCATACTCAAAATTAGTAAATAGTAAATATGCTGGTATATGTTAGATCTCAAACCTGGAGCAAACGGCAGAGGTGTTGAGGTGCCCATTAACAGTGTCACCTATAATGCCATAAGCAGGGCATTGAAGGAAGAGAAACTTGACTTCCGTGTCAGCAAGCTTGGGCTACATAGTGTGAATTTGCATCAAAACTAAAAAAGAAGGCCAATGAGGTGCTCGGCAGATAAAGGCACTTGCCACCAAGCCTGACAACCTGTTCAATCCTACAAGGCCACATGGTAGAAAAAACCAACTCTTGGGAAAGTTGTTCACTGACCTGCACACACAATGTAGCACTATATGCTTCTCTGCACACATAAATAAATAAGGAAGTAAGGAGGGAGGAAGAAAGAAGGGAGGGAGGGAGGGAGGGAGGGAGGGAGGGAGAGAGGGAGGGAGGGAGGGAGGGTAAGAGGGAGGGAGGGAAGGAAGGTAAGAGGGAGGGAGGGAAAAAGTAATTTTAAAATTAAAAGACAAATGGGTCAGAGTGTGTTGACACACACACTCAGGGAGGCAGAGGCAGACAGATATCTGAATTTAAACCCTATCTGGTCTACAGAGTGAGTTCCAGGACAGGCAGGGCCACACAGAGAAACCCTATCTAGAAAAACCAATAATAATAAAGAAACAAGCAAAAACAAAAAAATAAAAAAAAAAGAACAACACTCTCCCCACAAACAAATAACAAAAGCAGTGGCCTCCCCTGTGTTCACGCCTGTAAACCAGCGCTAGAACCGAGGCAGAAGAGCCACAGATCTGAGGCCAACCTGAGTTGTCATAAAATAATCAAAAAGAAAGCTGAGAGGGAAAAGGAATAGGAACCAGATAGAGATGAAATTAAAAAAGAAGGGAGTTGGAAAGACAGCTCAGCAGTTAAGAACACCAACTGCTCCTCCAGAGGACCAAGATTCAGTTCCCAGCAACCACATGAGTGTCTGTAACTCCTACATCTGACACTCTCACACAGACATCCAATGCACATCAAATAAAAATGATTAATTAAAAGAAAAGAAAAAAGAAAGAGAAAGGGGAGGAATAAGGGAAAGAGAGAGGAAGAAAGGAGCCTCGTGTGCCTCACGTGCTCGGAATCCTGACTTTGAGAGGCCAAGACAGTAGGATCAGGCCAGTTTCAGCTATATAGTGAGCTCAAAGCTAGGCTGATTTCTATGAGACCCCGACTCAAAAACAACAGGGCATGGTAGTACCTCCCTTTAATCTCAGTACTCATTTGAGGCAGAGGCAAGCGGGTCTCTGTGAGTTCAAGGCCAGCCTGATCTATGTAGTGAGTTTCAGGACAACAAAGACTACATAGTGAGATCTACACAATTTCACCCTTCCTCCACCCACCTTCCCCCGCCCCCTCCCCACCTCCAAAAGAGAAAGAAAGAAAGAAAGAAAGAAAGAAAGAAAGAAAGAAAGAAAGAAAGAAAGGAAGGAAGGAAGGAAGGAAGGAAGGAAGGAAGAAAGAAAGGAAGAAAGAAAGAAAGAAATTAAAGAACTGATGCAAAAGAAAATGTTCTGAGCATGTGCGGGTTTTTCCTTGTTATTCCCTAAGCCATGCAGTGTAACAAACTTTTGGCATTTACATCACATTTAGTATCCCCGTCAATAACTGAGAGATGTCTTAGCTGCACAGGAGGCTCTGGGGAATATGCAAGGACCATGCCCTTTATATAGGGGACTAGAGCATCAACCATGGGTCCTGGAAGGAGCTCCCTGTAAACATCCGCGAATGACTGTACTCCACAGCTTGAAGAGCCCTGTCATGGACCACACAGCAACTCACTAAATGGGGGCACTGCCACTCCCAACTTTCATAAGAGTCTGGCTGAGCCCTAAGGAAGTACAGATATCTCACCCAGGCCCTGTGAGTGATCAAGTTAGAAACCTGACACACTAGGTTTTCCAACCCCAAATTTATTCAGGCCAAAGTTCTAGGTCTCCTGGACAGTGATAGAAAAGGAAGCCATCCCAGAGGGCAGGGCCAGCAGACTTGGAATTCTAAGCGGGATTCCAAAACTCAGGCAGATCAGAGATGAAGCAGCAAGGCTGGGAGACCTGCTGTGTCTGGATTCAGGACGTTGCCGCACTGCAACGGAGAAGCACCCAGCCCTTGTAAGCGCGTGAAGGGACCAGACACATCTGTGGCCTAGAACAGGTACAAATATAAAGAGCTCCTGCACCTGGGTGTCTTTGAGAGGTTACCATAGCAACAGCTAGCTAGTCTTGAGGTCTGTCCTTGGGCCTAGCAGAGGAGACAGGGGGCAGCTCTCAAGGGTAGTACTTACTAACTCTCAGGAGCTAATAGGGACAGACAGGACCAGAGGTGACTCACTCCACTGCACTTGTCATTCTGTTACAGGTGGAGGGTGGGAGGGAGTCTGGTCTGGAGGTTGCAAGAAGCAGAGAGAGAGGCAGGCATAGGCTGGTGGTGAAAGGCTGGGTTGCAGGCATGTGGGGAGCCTGGAAAGGCGTTGAGAGCTGATGAGAAGCAGGATCAGAAGGGATAAGTAACAAGCCATGGCAGTTTTGGGGACTGGCTAAAGGAAAAATGTTTTCCACTTAAAAGTAGAAGGGCCTGGAGAGGGTATGGTGGTACCGGACTGTAGTCCCAGCCTCTCAGGCCCCAGAGGCAGGAGGATTGAAAGTCTGAGGCCAGCCAAGGATATACAGTAATATCCTGTCTCCAAATAAAAATGGCAAGAGGTGCTGCTGGGCAGTAAAGCCTTTGCCTACCACACAGGGAGTCCTGAGTCTGACTAAAGAGAGAGGGAGGGGCGAGGAGGAGAGAGAAAGAGAAACAGGAGAGAAGACTGGAGGAGAGAGGTATGGATGAGAGAAGGAGGCAGGAGAATAGGAGAAGAGGTGGGGAAAGAGGAGGAGACATTGGAGAGGAGAGAGGTGAGGCCTGACTACCCTCAACTACAGTGACACCCTCACAGAGCTCCCAGGGACACTCTGAGGGCAGCAGCCCCCAGAGAAAGGATGGAAAGCCATGCCAAACACCAAGAGCTTCAACTAATCAAGTCCTAGCATGGAGCCTAAAGAGTCAACAGGGGCCAGTGCAGCATGCGACACCTCTGCTCCAGGGTCACTCTGTCCTGCAGTGCTGTCCTTGGACCATCAAGCACCGTGGGAAGGGAGCAGAAGGCACTGCCTCCAGCCCTTCTCAACACTTCATCCCACACACTGGCCCCACAGTCAGAGGAGTGCCTGTGCTCACTCTACAGTGTGGCGGTCTGTGAGGGTGACAGGGAGAGGTACCTCAGGGCCATGGTGGGTATGAGGCTCTCCCCCCATGGGGCCCCAGTGTACCTGGTTCCCTGGCCTTCCCAACACGCCCCTCGGGTTAATGGTTCTCCTAGCCTTCCTAGCTTGGCAGCTGCAGATGCAGTTCAACTTATAAAGTCCCAAGTGTGTAAGAAGAGAAAAGGGGCTAGAGGAACTCTTGAGACTCCAAAATTTATTATCCAACAGAAATGAGCCCTTGACACGGAAACCAGAGGCCAGAGAGCCCCATACCAACACCCTCTAGGACACCACGGCAAGCCTGTGTATCCCGGTCTCCAGGCCCAGCATCCTGCCTGCCTCTGGCCTTGAGCTCTCTCCCAGCTGCCAAGGTCACCACAGCTGTGTAAGCAGGATGATCTTTGAAGATCCTTGAGTGAGCAGCAAAAGCAGGATTAAATCTGCCTTCCTTCTGAAGGGACACTGGTCCAGAGAGACACGGAATACAATTGTCTTTCTAAACCAGAAGGCTCCTTCCTGAAGCCCCCAGCCTGAAACACTAACCTGTGTAAAGTATTCCTTAAGTCTAACCAGAGTTCCTCCTGCTGCAGATTCTATGCATATTAAAGGGTCTATAATCCTAGGGCCTCACTCACAGGTTCTGATACACAGTAGACTTTAAAAAAAAGAAATGTGGTGGGTGTCTTTTTGTTTGTTTGTTTTTTCGTGTGCGTTTGTGTACTGTGTGTGTGCCTGATCCCACAAGGCAGAAGAGAGCATTGGATCCCTGGAGATCGAAGTTAGACAGTTGTAAGCTACTATGTGGGTGCTGGAAATCAAACCTGGTCCTTTGGGAGAACAGCAGCCTGTGCTCTCAATGGCTGAGCCATCCCTCCAGCCCCATACTGTGGGACTGCGTAAGGGTATCCTGGGTCATGGTTGAGCAGGTGCCTAGAACCCCGAGATTCTGTGTGGAATTCTGCGCGAGAACCGGCAGGAGTTCGGCCCCCCCCATCATCCAGGATCCTGAAAAGCAGTCACGGTCTCCATAGAGTCACATAGGCCTCAGGCCCTAGGGCTATAGGCCTCAGGCCCTAGGGATTTACATACTAATGAAGGCCAGAAGGCAGAGCAAATTAAATATGCCTCCCCCAGATCCTCCCCCAATCCTCCCCCTTTCTCCCTCCCTATATAACTCGGGACTGCCCTGAGTTTTTGTTTTGGGGGGTACGCCTAGATCCATCTTTTATCCGCCATGACAATAAACAATAAACCTTTTTGGAACCAAGGACTTCCTCGTGTTACTGGGGCCTGTCGCCGCCAAGGCCTCCAGGCCGCTGGAACCATATGACTTCTTCCCTAATGTGGGACCTGCCACGCCACGGCAGCGGAAGCCCCTTTGGGGCTTGCGCCGGGCGGCCTTCTTAAATTTTCCCCACACCATACAATAGACTGTTTAGACATTTGTGGAATCAGCCACCCTTTCCACCTGTCTTGTCTAGCACCGAAATTAAACTAGCCACTGTACTTAAAATCCTTTAAACAGTGACATAAAAGTATTGCTAAATAATTCAGAAACCGATCCCAACACCTTTCTAGAGCCTACAGTCCTTAATCCCCTCCTTAATTGACCTGGCCTGAGTAGTCACAGACCCTGGGAGATTTCCAGGTCTAGAGGCTCGGTGTGCTACCAATGGCATAGAGGTTAGAACTGAGGTAGTGGTCCCAAATAATAACCAGGGGGATTCTGGGAATTCTTGAAAGCTAGTCAGTGGGTAAGGGTCCTGTAGGGTGGTGACCAGGGGCAGGAGGGAGGAAAAGTCTAGAGAAATGTGGAGCCAGTGCGCCACCTAGTGGCTCCCTCACCTCTGCAGACCCAGGCTATCGAGTTCCCTGTCCTCCACAGCATGCCCCAAAAAAGGAACCAACTCTCCTGTGGCAGAAACAAGATGTTTGCTTCTTTGCTTTATTTACTCCATTCCCTTCGGGCCTCTTTCTGAGGATAAGGACAGCACACTTGGAGGATGACCTGGCCTGAGGCCACTCAGCCTGGAGAGGGAGTACAGTGTCTAGATTGTGCCTAAACACTGGAGTGGTGACTGCAAGGGGTCCCTTGCATTTAGAGACCACCTCAAGTGACAGAGCCCCACCATGGTGTACAGCTCTGGTGAGGAGGTGAAAGCCGCAAGAGGCGTGGTGAGGGCTCCTCAGGCTTAGTGACAGCTGTCTCTAACAAAGCTAACAAAACCCCAAGGCAAGTCTGGAGCTAAGTCTCCAACCAGCAGCTCCAGTGCAGGGTAGTAGGCGCTGCTGTGGACTCAAAAGGACAGCTCTCTGGCTTCAGAATAAGAGTCTTCCCCAGCAGGCCCCTATATGATGCTTAGTACCTAGGGCCTTTATCATTTGTATAGATTTGCTTAACCAGTTCAGTAGTGCCGACTATAGCCCTTTTTTTTTTTTTTTTTTTTTTTTTTTTTTTTTAGCAAAAGTGGTACCAGTGCAGAGCCAAGTGCTTTGCTCTCTTCTGTGAAGGGCATTCAAGGGCACTAGCGAGCCAGGAGGGGCCCGCTGGACAGTAGGAGCATAGCTTCTAGGGTCACACAATTCCAGGCATCTTGAGCTGGGTACACGCCAAGGCTGTCTGTTGCAGCAGGAGCAGGGCTCAGCCTTGGTAATGGTGGTGGGGATGGCAGCTGTGCTCTTCCCGGGGTCCCACAACTCTGGGGTTCCAAGAGTGCTTCTCCTTCTTTCTTGACCTATGGGGAGACAGGGTAGGAGGCAGGAAATAGCCTTCAGGAAGCAATGTCACGTACTGAGATGGGGATCCTAAGGAGAAGGAGCCCTCTTCCTCTGGTGGAAGCCAACTCAGGCGGCTGCAAGCGTGGGAGAAACCTGGGTGCCAGGATGAATCCATTGCGGGAGACAAGAAGGGGCCCTCTATGTACAGGCAAGGTGAGGAAAGGGGATCCTAGTTCAAACGGGGACCCCCCAAGGACCACTGCAGCCCCTCATGGGAAGATAGGAAGTATACCCAGAAGCCTTCTCCAAGACCTGGGAATCAGAAATCAAGAGAGGGACTCAAGCTACAGACCTCTTCATCAGGGCCCAACGCCTTCAAACCCGTCAGCTACCCCGACCACGCCCCATTCCCACCTCTTCCTCAGTGCCTTGTCTCCAAAGAAGTGGCTGAAGACGAAGTCCTCAAAGTCATCCACTTCATCATCATCACCTGTCTGCTTCAGTGCCACCTCCTCCAGGCTGTCTTCCAGTGCATCCACAAAATCCCTGAAGCGAAGGCGGTCATGCCTGAAGATGCCATCTTCTCCAAAGTAAGCAGGTGAGAGGGGCAGCTGTTTGGTCAGCTGCCCAGCCCAGGGGAGCCGAGCCAAGTATTCTCTCAGCACAGAGGCCAGCTCCTGCTGCCGCACTGGGGCCAGCTCCACGCCAAAGAGGGCCAGGCCTTCTTGCCGGGCACAGTCGGCCACACCTGAACAGCCCTGAGGGGGCCGGTACTTGCGCCTCAGCAGCTCCTCCCAGGAGGACAGGGTGCCAGGGCTGTTGTCTTTCCCCCAAGAATGCTTCTGCCTTTCTCCAGAGTGTGGGTTCCCACTTTTCCTAGGGTGTACCTTTGGGTCCTGCCGCTTGCTGTCCTTTCTGCTCCCCGATTCTTCTGCCCTCAGCCTGTCTTCCTTCCAGTGTCCTGTGAATTCCCTGCCCTCGTCCCTCCAGCTCCTCTTCCTCTCCTGGCCAGACTCCTCCTTCCGTGGCCTCCAGTGCTCAGCCTTCTGATCCCTCTGCCCACTGCGCCACTTCTCCTTCCCACTCCACTCCCTGGGATTCTGGAAGTGAGGCTTCTTCTGGAACCATGCCTCCGAGTCATTGGAGGACCTGCCAGTGCTAATACCCTGGTTCTCTAGGCCCTGCAACGTCTGGGCCAACATGTGACCAAGTTCAGCCAGGCCAGCGTGAGCTGGGGCTCCCTGGCCAACATCTTGCAAGCCCCTCTGCAAGTCACGGTGCACAGAACCCAAGAGCTGCCACTGCCTCTGCAGCTCCTGTCTTAGGGCCTTGGCCTCAGCCTCAAGCTGCTTATGCTGCTCCAATAAGCTGGGGTCTGGTTCCTGCCCCTTGTGGCCTTGTTCCTTGGTGGCCTTGCCACCTTGTGGACCTCCACCCCAGTTGAGACACACCCCATCTACACCCCGGACACAGTTAGCCTCTAGCCCTTGGAGTCGGGCCCTTAGCTGCTGTAGTTCTGACTCTAGGGCCTGGTGGGAGGTCTTGCCCTGCTGCAGGGCTTCCCGGAGCCGGGCATTCTCCTCCTCTAGCCCATTGGGCTGGTGCAACAGGCTCTGAAGCTCTTCTTTCTGAGCCTAGAATGTAGTTAGGAACAAAAGAAAACAGAAGAAGCCCTTGTCAGGGTGGGCACAATGCCTTCTACCCCAATTCTATTCTATTTAGAGAGGGCAAGGGGTAAAGATGCAGTTCTGTTGGCAGTGAGCCTGCATAGTACATGCAAGGCCTTGGGTTTGAGCCCCAGTGCTGCCTGGAGAGCCAGAAGGATTCTTCCTCTTCTCCACCCCTCATCTGAGCCAGTTCCTGTGATGGTCAAATTCTACCCAGCGTCAATGTCCTTACACAACAAATGCATGCTTTTTAGACCCAGCATAGCCACTCTCTAGCCCTCCTCGTCCCTCTTCCACTGGCTATACCCAGAGCAGACACTGTGCATTGATCCTAGCACTTAGTATGAGCCGTGGCATGTTCTTCAAATCGGAAGATCACCCTCATCACTCATGTAACCTGACATGTAAAACAGGTACGCCGGCCCTAACCCAGTCCTTACCATGAGGGAGGTAAGCAAGACCAAGAAGATACCCTCATTACAGCAAAGAGCGAGGCTCCAAGGTCAGGTGAATAGGGAAAACTCCTTCTGGGGGAGTCCACTAGGACATACACCTGGGTAAAGGTGGCCAGATGAACTCCTCTCTCTTGCTAGGGCCCACCTGCAGCTGAGCCTGCAGCAACCGAATATCCTGGTTTTCCTTGGCCAGCTTGTCCAGCAGAAGCCCCATACTCTGCAGGTTGGGGACACTGTCTGGTGGCACCGAGGCCTGCAGCTGCTGTATTTCATCCTGATGACAGAAGAGCAGCTACTTCATGGCCCTCCCAGGCAGGGCAGCCCAGCTCCTCCCCACCAGCACCCCTCACCCAACTCAGGAAACCCCATACACACCTGCCTGTTCCCCATAGTGTCTACCAGCTCAGTCTCTGGCCCAGTTTCCGGAAAGACCTGCAACTCAGCTTCCTCCATGGGCCCTGCGGGCAATTGAGCATCTGAATCTAAGCCTCTGATCCACAGAGCCCATCACCCTCTCTCAGTCACTCCTCTTTCCCCGAGCACAGCCCATGGCTCATAGTCCTGCTGAGTTAAAGGGACAAATGTCACCTTGAACAGCTGACAAGTTCAACAGCTGAAGAAATTAACATGCAACTCCGAACACATTACCTGAGAGCCTCTCCCCATACAACGTGCATTACCACCCAACACAGAAAGAAAGCCGGGGAGTCTTCTGCTCACCAGTCTCGGGCTCCAGCAGTGCACCTGAAGATGAAGACAGTCTGGTGAGGCCTCAGGCAAGCAGGGAGAGGAAAGGGCAGACAGAACAGCAAGGCAGGGTCAAAGGACAGACTGGAGGCCCAGCTGGTAGTACTCACCAGAGAACAGGAGGATCCCCAGGCCCAGAAGAACCAGGGCCCCCAGGAAACACATGTTGAGGGAGATGCCCAGCTCTCCACCTATGCCCTCGCCCTTGGCCTGGTCCTCCACATCCTCGGGTACCATGCGCTGGGGTGGGCTGGGCTCCCGGCCCCTCCGTCTCCGCAGACCCTCCACATCTACGTCAGTGTCATCGTCACTGCTGGAGCAGTGATGCTCTTTCCAAACTGAAGGAAGGGAAGGGGACAGGGCAGTGAGGCAAGTGGGGGTGAGCACAGGGAGACAGGGGAAGAGGAGGAAGGCACAGGGATGCCCAGTCCTGCCACAGAGAAAGCACATGAAGACTGCCCACTCAGGCCTGGATACTAACTGACTAGCCCTGTCCAGTCATCGACAAACACAAGAGCCACTTCTGTCCTAAAATCCTCCTTCTCCCAGTGTACAAGTTTCTACACAGGATGCCTCCCTCCTGGGTACCCTCTAAACTCCTTGGCCACAGTGTTGTTTTGGCTTTTCCCAGTCCTAAGGCTAATAATTTCCCTCATAACCTCTCACCCACTCCACTGCCCTCCCCACTGTGGCCTTCCCAGCATCCCAGGCGTGCCTCTCTGACTATATGTACTCCAGCCACATTCTCCTGAGCACAGCCCCCCTCGGGGGTGGGGGGACATTCAACACACTACCCTCTAAATCCATCTTTCCTTGTGTACCCCACCTTGGGTTCAGGGAGGGGCACAGCACTGCCTTTCTGGTTAACCTCAGTCTTCCCTCTCTGTCCCACGTCAGACAGTCGGGCTGTTCTCCACTTGATGGCCTTCAGTCAGTAGACTCTCTTTATAGGCCTCAGTCCCTGCCTTAGGTCTCACCTCAGCTTCCCCTGGCCATTCGACAGAGATAAAGGGTGTGGGAGGTGTGTCTCCTGTCACCTCTGCTACTGCCTTGGACAGACTATGGACTAGTCCCAGTCTTCTGCTGATGCCAAAGTTCTGGAATATTTTCTCCTGACCTACTCTATGCTTAAGACTCTTCTCAAATGGCACCTCCAACTGTCCCTGCCTCTCCCTCATTCTTATGCATCACCTGACAGAGCTGTCTCCCTCCCACTCCCTCAGGAGTTGCTGAATTGCATGTCCTTTCTGCATCCCTTATAGTCTGACTGGATTTTTGGCTCATGCCAGTCAGCTTCTTACAAAGTCCCTGAGCCTCCTACCTTCCCTCATCATGGGTCCAGAGCCAGCACAAGGAGAGGACTCTGGAAATAAAGGGTATGTTCTAGAACAGGTTCTTGACCTGTGGGTCGTGACCCTTTGGGAGTCAAATGACCTTTTCACAGGGGTCATCTAAGACCATTGGAAAACATAGATATTTATATTATGATCCAATTGCAGTCATGAAGTAGCAATGAAAATAATTTTATGCCGGGCGGTGGTGGCGCACGCCTTTAATCCCAGCACTTGGGAGGCAGAGGCAGGTGGATTTCTGAGTTCGAGACCAGCCTGGTCTACAGAGTGAGTTCCAGGACAGCCAGGGCTACACAGAGAAACCCTGTCTCAAAAAACCAAAAAAAAAAAAAAAAAAAAAAAAAAAAAGAAAATAATTTTATGGTTGGGGTCACCACAACATGAGGAACTGTATTAAAGGGTCGCAACATTAGGAGGGTTGAGAACCACTGCTCTAGAAGCAAGAAAAGAGGACACAGGGAAGAAAGCAAAGAATCATCCAGCCATGGGCCTTCATTCAAGCTCCTTAACTTCTCTAGTCTGGAGTTACAGATGGCTGTGAGCTGGCATATGGGTGCTGGAATTGAACTCAGGTACTCTGGAAGGACAGCTAGTGCTCTCAACTGCTGAACCACCCTTCCATCTCTCCATGCTTTCTAAAAGGTGGAGAACAGAAGGCCAAATGGCCCCTGACCTGTTCTGGGACTCGAGGGCAGGTTCTGTGGATGGATCTCACTCTCCAGGTCCTGTGTGTCTGGTCCAAGGTTCGTCACCTCAGGAGTCTCCTGCAAATCTTCCTGGACCACTGTGTCTCCAGGGGTCTCTGTCCCATGACCATCACCTCCCAGAGTGCCCTGATGGGGATGAAGCTGTGAGACGTGCCCTCTCTACTCTCCTCCCCGCCCCAGGGAAGGCCCTCACCTTGGCCTCAGACTCCTCTGGCAGAGCAGTACTTTCACTCTGGGAACTTTCCGTCTGGAAAAGCGTCTCTGTGGTAGAAGATAAAACCCAGAAAAACCCACTGTCCTGAAATGAATTACTACAGGGCAGCCCTTTAGCACCCACAGGCCCCAACCACTTCAGAGTGTGCTGGCTCATAAAGCAAGACTAGCAGGCAAATAGCCTAGGTGATTGCCCTTCCCCAAACCAAAAAGATAAGAAGACAGTTTACCCCCAACCCTCCATGAGCCCCATTACCTTCTCCATCCAAGGTCCCAGCTAATTCTTTGCCATCTGCCTTGGAGGAGTCCTGAAGGGCCTGGGGGTTTCCCTCAGATTCAGGGTCTATCCTGGGTTCTGGGCCTAGAGTCTCCACAGGTAGATTCTGGTGAGAGGGAGGTAAGAACTAAGATACTTTGTCAGGACATCAGACAAAATCAGGAACAGAAATTCCCTAATAGGACCTGAGGGGCTAGCTGCACTCAGATACCACAGCCCACATCTCAGAAACTGGCCTGCTCTACTCTGGTGCTAACCAAAGTGTTTACTTGCTCTGTAACACCCTACCTAGCCTTCCCCACTGCTCAAGGCCAGGTTTCTATGAAATCATAGCCTCTAGCAAGGCTCTGGGACCAGAGCATTCACTGAGCAGACACTGAGGGAGGCCAACAATACCTAGGATCCCTGCCCCCTCTCATCAGTGCTGTGCTCCCCATGTGCCAACAACCCACAGCTGCCCTTCCAGAGGACCTGAGTTCAATTCCAGAACCCACATGAACCCAGGTCATGATTATGCTCTCGGGCACCCCTGAAGCTGTTTTCTCCTCTGCCCACCCACACATCCATCTTGAGTTCTCTGGCCTTTCCCATTGGCCTACATGCCCCTGACAGCCATCTCCCAGCAGCTACTGGCAGAGGCCAAACTACCCCCAGCCACAGCCAGCCTGACCCCATGGTGCTGGCTCACAGCCTGGCCCTTAGCTCTGACTACTCTGCTTGGGCAACTTTGCTGCATATAACCCCTTGGCAGACTGCCACCCGCTCACTCCACCTAGGGTTCCGCTCTACCTCCAGAAATAACTTTTTCTCCCCTGCCTCCCCACCCCTCTTTGTGTGTGTATGTGTGTGTCTGTACATGTGTATGTGCACATCTATGTGTGTCTGTGTGTCTGTCTGTTTGTGTCTATGAAGGCACACATAATATCACAATATAAGTGTAGAGGTAAGAAATCAACCTCAGCTAGGTGTTGTAGCACAGGCCTTTAATCCCAGCACACAGGAGGCAGAGGCAGATGAGTTTCTGCAAATTTCAAGCCAGCCTGATCTACAAAGTAAGTTCTGGACCAGTCAGGGCTACACAGCAAGAAAAGGGAGGGGGATAACTCGCATCAGCCCTCCCCTTCGGCCTCTTTTGAAACATTATTCTCTGCTGTATTTACAGACTAGCTGGCCTTGGACTCATGAGAAGTCTCCTGTTTCCTACTCATTTCTCATTATAGGAGCAGCAAGATTACAAACATGCACTAGCATATCACAGTGTTAGTAGGTCTGGGGATCTGAAGTCAGGGTCTCATGCTTCCCACTAAGTTTTCTCCCCCAACTTTCCAAGGGGGAGAATGAATATATATATATATACACACACACACACATACACTCTCTACATAGTCTTGACTGTCCTAGACTATCCTAGAACTCACTCTGTAGACCAGGCTGGCCTCAGACTCACAGAGCTCTGCCTCCTCCGTCATCTGACAGCTGTGGTTAAAGCTGTGCACCACCATACCTGGCTCAAGAATAACTTTTGACCTCAGTATACTGCTTGGCAGTTTACAAGTCACATATTTCTCGGGGTTACCCCTGCAAGGCAAGAATCACAATACTGGATTACAGTAGAGGATGAACAGGTGAAATACTTGGCCCAGGTCCCCCGCTGTCAGCAAAGGCACCATGACAGGAGACCAGGGCCCACTAAGCACAGGGCCTATCTTAACCCCCACCATTGAGCACTGGTCCCTGTATTCTACTCTAGGGTCCTTGCTGAGGTCAACTCTTTACACCAAGCTGGTCTCCTAAAGTGCACCTCAAACCCAACAAGTCTAAATGGGGTTCCGTGGCTTCTCTGGCTACTAATTTTTTTTTTTTTTCGAGACAGGGTTTCTCTGTATAGCCCGGGCTGTCCTGGAACTCACTCTGTAGACCAGGCTGGCCTCGAACTCAGAAATCCGTCTGCCTCTGCCTCCCAAGTGCTGGGATTAAAGGCGTACGCCACCACCACCCAGCTTAGCTACTGATTTTTAAATGATTAATTTATTTATTGATTGATACAAGATCTCATATATCCAAGGATATGTATATAGCCAAGGATAACCCTGACCTCCTGATCTTCTAGCCTCCATCTCCCAATTAGTGGGATCATAGCCTGGTGGGACTCCACCACGTCCAGTTCCTCCTAGTGGTTCTAGGGAAGTCTCTGAGATCTCTTTGACACAGCCTATCATCCCTCTCTAGCTACTAGTTCCCAGACCGGCAGGCCTCCTGCCTTCTTGGTGGTATTAGGAGCCCTCTGGTTTCCTGCCCTAACAAATACGCCCTAGAAGGCTGTAGAAGCTTTGAAAGCACTATCCCTGTCCCCACCCAGCCACACAGGCTTGGTCCCCTGCCAATGACAGTGAGTGTTAGGCTACTCTCCAACTCAGCAGCCCTGCACTGTCTGCTCATCAGATGACACATGTGCTGGCTAATTTTATGTCAACCTGACACAGGCTAGAGTCATCTGAGAGTCAAGAACCCCAACTGGGAAAATGCCTTCATAAGATCAGGCTGTAGCGTGGTCTACAGAGCATTTTCTTCCTTTCTTTCTTTCTTTCTTTCTTTCTTTCTTTCTTTCTTTCTTTCTTTCTCTCTTTCTTTCTTTCTTTTGAGACAGGGTTTCTCTGCATAGCCCTGGCTGTCCTGAAACTCACTCTATAGACCAGGCTGGCCTCAAACTCAGAAATCTGCCTGCCTCTGCCTCCCAAGTGCTGGGATTAAAGGCTAAAGGCGTGTGCCACCACTACCCAGCTTATAGAGCATTTTCTTAATTAGTGATTGATGGGGGAGGTTGTGGGTGGGCTATCCCTGGGCTAGTGGTTCTGGGTTCTAGAAGAAAGCAGGCTGAGATGCCCTGGAGAGCAAGGCAGTAAGCAGCACCCCTCCATGGGTAGGTACATCAGCTCCTACCTCCAAGTTCCTGCCCTGTTGGAGTTTCTGACCTGACTTCCTTCAGTGATGGATTGTTACCTGAAGTATAGGCTGAAATAAACCCTTTCACCCCCAAGTTGCTTTGGTCATGGTGTTTCATCACAGCAATAGCACCCCTAAGACAACACCCTTGAAGAGGCCCTTCCAACACTGTTCATAGCAGGGGTCCACCTTATCCTAAGGCTCTTCAGTCTCCTAACATGGCTCCCCTTTGTCACCTCATGACCTTACTCTCACTGGTGCTCCTCTCTGCTTCTCTCAGCTAACCTATCTGGTCCCTTTTTCTCAACACCAGAGCTCTGTGCCAGATCTCCTCCCTCCACTGGAGCCCCATAAGAGCCGACAGGGACTCTACAATGACCATCAGGACCAAGAAAACAGGACAGATCCAAAAAGCAGCAAGGGGAGCGAGGACAACCCAAGACTTTCTCAGAGGTCCTGATGAAAGGACAAAGGGAACTTTAGTTCTGTGTCCCTGTTCACGAACGGACTTGGCAATCAATGCTGGTCTAAGGCTGGAGCCAGTGTCTTGAAGGAGTCAAGGTTGCAGTTTCTGGTAATTTGACGTTTTCCCCTAGACTGTGGTTATCAATTCCAAGGCAGCTGTGTCTGAGGTATCCTGTGTTCTTTGCCAACATTGTCTGATTTAGCTCTCTGCTGACCACAGCCATTCCTCCCTGTAGATAGTATATATGACACTATACCTCTTAGTAAACTTGCTTGGCATCAGTTGCCAACTTGTGTAAGATCTCTTGGTCCCAGCTGTTGCTTTGATCTTCTTCATTCCCTACTCCCGGGCACTCTCACTCAACACCTTGCTGTTCTGGACCCTTATTCCTGCAGGTTCCAGTCAAAGCAGTCCAACCCTGCAGGAATCCCCTCTCCCATGTGGTTCCCAGGCCCACTCTTCCTACCTCAGAGCCGGCAAGCACCCAGCTATTATCTGAGTCTGGGCAGGAGGCCATAGTTGTAGAGGTCCAGTGCAGTTAGAGTGGCCACCTGCAGAGAAAAGCTCTCTTAAGAATGGGAGTTCCTGGGCTTGGAGGCCCACACTTAAATCCCAGTGGCTCTTTGAGTGTAATGCCAGAGCAAGTTCCAGGACAGCCAGGGCAACACAGATGAACTTTGTTTCAAAGAAACAACCAAAAGAAGAAAAAGAAAGAAGAAGGAAGAAAGAAGAGGAGGAAAAACAGGAGGAAGAGAAGAAGAAGCAGGAGGAAAAACAAGAGGAGGAAAAGGAAGATGAGGAAGAGGAGGAAGGAGAGGAGGAAGAAGAGGAGAGTTCCCTTCAGAGAGGCAAACAGCAGCAACAGGGTTCCTGCCATCAAAAGATGGGCAATCTCTTCAAAACCCCAGGCTGGTCCCAGTCCTTCTGCCCCAGATCCCATAGTTTTCCTGGTAGTATTCACCCATAGGGCCTTGAGAAACTGCGCTGGCCTTAAAAATTCAGAGGACAAAGGTTGAAAAGTCCAACCCTTGGTGTTCTGGTTAGGGAGGAAGAATCTCAGAGGCTGACTAACTGAAGAGAAGGAAATGACCTGGGTCCCTTTCACAATACCTGGGTCCTCCATAGTTCCTACTGTCCTCCCACATAACCCAAAGAGAAGGCCCACCAGCCTCCTTACAGCCCAAGTGTCTCAGTACCCATCCACCATCCGTCCTCCACACACTTGGTTTAGGGCAGTGGTTCTCAACCTGTGGGTCGACACCACACGGGGCTTACATAGCAGATATCCTGCATATCAGATAATTACATTAGGATTCATGACAGCAGCAAAACTACAGTTCTGAACAAAATTACAGTAGCAACGAAATAATGTTATAGTTGGAGATCACCACAACATGAGGAACTGTATTAAAGGGTTGCAGCATTAGGAAGGTTGGGAACCACGCTGTCTTAGGGGTTCTCAGCACTGGCTGTGCAGGCCTCAGCTAGGACTGCCACTGAAGTGATCAGGATCAGGCCAGGCAGGAAGCTTTCTAATGCTGCAGGGCCCAGTGGTCCACCTGGGTCACTCACTCTCAATCGTAAATTCTAGAGAGTTTGATCTCAGGGATCTTGAAAGTGACTGGGGAGAAGTGCGGGGGGAGGGATGTAGCAATTACCATCAATAAATAACATTAAAATCTGCAAAATGGGGGGGGGAGGAGACTGGGACTCTGATCCTATCTCTTCCTAATCATCTTGGAGGGCCGCTGGGGTTAAGGCATCACTCCTACTTCCAAAGACCAGCATAAAGCAAGGCTGTACCCTTGGCCTAGGGAGGTGCAACTGGGATCAAGCAAGAGGATGGAGTGACAGACAGCTGACCCACAGGCAGAAAAGGCAGAGCGTGAAATTTGACTGTACCAGTAAAATGCTCCCTCCCCATCTACTCCAGCTGGGTTTAAGTCCTGCATGATTACCTTTAAAAAAATCCCGTGGCTCTTGTTGGTCAAGATTCAAGCCCAAGATAGGTAAAGGACATCTAGTGTTGTCTTCCTCAATGCTCATGTCTCCTAGACAGCACCCATTCCCACAAAGGTACAGATCAATTGCAATGACTTCCCTATACCAAGTCCCAAAAACGAGCTCCCCACACCCCTCCTTCTAGTGACATCCACGCAGCCATCTTCTTTCAGCTTTAGGCTCTCAGCTCCTCCGCTGGCCTGCTATCCCCAGCTGCTGTGTGACTGTTAACAGGTGGCAGCAGGAAGGAAGTGGCCACAGCAGCTTGAGCAGAAGTCCCTATTTATCCCTGGCTGTTTACAGCCTGCTCAGGTCCTCCAGAACTAAGTACCATGGCAACCAGGGTGATGTCAGACCCACTGTCTCCATGGAAACCAGCAATGGTATGGTATTTGGGTCAACAAGACAAACCCAAAACCTAAGCAGAAGACTTCCTAGAACCCCTGCACTCGGGGTCCCAAACCTTGATACCCACAAGCATCCCCACTCTCCTAGGCCGGCACATCGATACCTTATTAGGAAGCCTGTCTAAGAAATCGAGCGGCTACTTAGCCGCCACCCTTTCCAGCTGTGATTTTAGAGAGGTTAGTCTTTGACCTCTATGAAGAAAACCCACTCCCTATTCTCCCCATTTCACTCAGGCAGAATTCCACAAAAACTTCTGCTGTTTCTAAACATGGCTAAAAAAAGAGTGTTCCCAGTCTGCACAGAACTGGGAAGTCTGGTTTGATATGCCCTTGATTCTAACATCCTTCTCTGACCTTTAAAGGGAAGGACCTGGGACCACAAAAACTTGCCTGAGTTCCTGCTTCGGAACCATCTGTCTCCCTCCTTCCCCGCCCTTCGGTCCTGTGTTGGGCAGTATGTGGACGCCGGGGGTGCCCACTCCTTTTATACAGCTTTGCCCTCCTTTGTTATCTGGGGATAAAGTGGGATTCTGTCAGCCCCTTCCCAGCAAGGGCTTTCTTTACCTGACCCAGCTCTCGCTTCAGTCTTCAGCTTAACTTGTTGCAACTTCCCCTGGTTCCCAGCCCAGGAAGACAAGAGGGGAGTCACGTGGTTAGTGTTTGACCAGTGAAAAGTCGACTTCCCCGCGGGGGTGTGTGAGGGGGAACTTTTGACCAATAAAAAGCTGGACTTAAGCGCCCAGGGAGGGGAAAGAAGATCTACGCAGTATCTATCCCTTGGTTTTTCTTTTGGTGGGCAATTGTGGTCCCCAGCAAAATAAATTTGGGGGGACCTCCTCTCTTTTCTCGATGTCTAGTGTCTAGTAGGAAGACCTAAAACAGAAAGGTGTTGTCTGATGAGGCTGCAAGGACCAGGTGCCATGTTGTCTATCCCAGGATAGACAGAGACAGCTGTAGTATGGGGGATGGGGTCCAGTGCAAGTTGTGGGTTTAGAAATAGCCCTCCCGCCATTCCTATCTGCCCCAACGCAGACAGAGGATGCCACTACTTTGGAAATGGAAGACGGCCAAACGTGGTGGTGCCCGTTTTTAACGCCAGCGCTTGGGAAGCAGAGGCAGGTATCCAGGTGGATCTCTTGAGTTTGAGATCAGCCAGATCTATATATAGTGAGTTCCAGGCCAGTGAGGGCTACATAGTGAGATCCTGCTATACACACACACACACACACACACACACACACACACACACACACACCATGTGGGATGGCTCAGGCCAGAGGGATGTCTCAGCTGGGTAAAACCTCCACACGTACACATGATTGCACCTCAACAGATCATATACAGACACCAGGTAATAATTTTTTAAAAAAATTAATGGAGGAGGTAGGTGCTATAATCCCAGCACTGTGGAGACTGAAGAGGATGTTGATGTCCAGCCTGGGCTACAAAACACTGAACAACTTCCAATCAAAAACCAAACTAAAACAAAAGCAAAAAACTCAGACAAAAACAATGAAAGAAACAGAGGCAGAAAAGCATCCACAAATTAAATTCAGGACTGGATGTGACCCAGCAGCGGAGCACTGTCATCTATATAATGGAAAGTGAAGCATTTAAGAAATTTCAAATTTTTATGTGTGTGGGTGTTTTGCCTGCATGGCTGTAGGATTCTAGCGTTACAGATGGTTGTGAACTGCCATGTGGGCCCTGGGACTTGAACCTGGGTCCTCTGGAAGAACAGCAGGAGCTCTTAACTGGTGAGCCATCCAGCCCGAAAACTCAAATTTAAAAACAAAACAAACCCCCAAAAACCCCACACTACTTATTTGTGCGCGTGGATACACACCAGCAGTGGGATACACGGCGCTCAGAGGACAAGCTACCAAGTCAGTTCTCTCCTTCCACCCTGTAGGTTCGGGAGATCAAGCTCAAATCCTTAGGTCAGCCCAAAGTATCTTCACCTGTTATCTCCCTGGGCATCCCAAATAAATTTTTGAAATTAAAAAAAAATCTAGACTTAAGAGAAAGGCAAGGTTTAAACCCAGAGCTCAGGCACTGATGCCAGAGGCTTTGGCTCCAACTCCATCTGGCTTCCAGACTAGCCAAGAATTGCTCCAAAAACAGAGGTTCCCACACTGAGGACCCACAAAGTGGAACAGGGAAATTGGAGACCTTCTCAGCTCAGCAGCTCAGAGCAGGGACAGCCTCACCCTCTAGGCATCCTCTTAGCAGTGGCTTATCCCAATGGTTTTTGCAGAGTAACAAAACAGTCCTTGTTTGGATTTTCAAGTCATTTTATTAACCCAACCGTACAAAAAGATCCTATAACCACATCTCTGCCTACCCACTTTCTTCCAAAAAGTAGCAGAGAGAAACAAGAGGATGGGCCCTCCCCGGGAGCATTTTACAAACCATGGATTCAACACAAAAAGTATCGGCAGGTAACGGGTGAACAAAACCACAGCACAACACAAAGATAAGCAGAGAGGCTGTCACATGTAGTTTAGGAGTTGAGGGGCACAGAATAAGAAGCAGGTCCACCCTCATCCTTCTCAGCATGAAGGGCTGCCAACTCTGAGTGTCCTCTCTCCCTGTGCAGGGAACATGAGGACTGAGACAGGGCACCCCAGAGGGCAGCCTTTATTGTCAAGCTGGGCACCTTCAACTCTCTCAGGAGAGCCACACCCAAGCCTGCTGTCCCCACCTATTTGAGGAATGGACATTTGGGTTAACTGGAAAGAGGAGCAGCTGGAAGGGGCTCCTGTCCCATCACTGGCAGGAAGTGCTAACAAACCAAACCAAACCCAGCCTAGCTGCTGGATCACCAGACCCAAGATGACATCACAGGATAAAAAAGGGTAAGCAGAAAACTTCAGGTTCTTTCAGCTTGTAGTATTATGGCCTTGAGGGTCCTGCTGCTCAGCCTCATGTCCCCAGAGCCATGGCAGGGCCTCCCTTGGATCCTTTCATCAGGGAAGGAATGAGGTATAAGGGCTTCGTGCCTTCCCAAACATTTCTCCGAGACAGAGGAAACAGGGGCACCAAGAGCTGAAGAACAGCACTGTCATACTGTGCACCAGATAGGTGCGAGGGGCAGGGTGGTGGTGGTGGATGGAGTGGGGGTGGGGGGGTGCGACACCTCCAGTCCAGACTTCCAGGGGAGCTCCAACTTCAAATACTCCCGTCACTCAGACCACATATCCCAATTTTTTTGGCAAACCATGGTCACTGAGAGAAAAATACAAGAGAAGCTGAGAGAGGACCAGTGACTTTGGTATGAGGAGGATGTCTTCTCAGCATCTCTTACCTACAGTCTTGAAGCCCCAGACAGACAACTGCTCTAGTCAGGAACTTTCCTGTTTCCTCAAGGTATTTGGTGCTCCAAGGAGAATAGAGTACATCAGGTCCAGGGGAAGCAAAGGGACACAGAGAGAAATCACCATTTGTTTCCAGAACCGAGGAAAGGGGCTCTCGCTCAGGGAGCGAAGAAACCTTGAATATGTGACTCCAAGAGCTACAGCTGCAGCCATGGGGCTACACAGGTATTGTAGGCACGGGGGTTGGGGTTACCTCTCATCTGCACACAGGATATCCTTGCCCTTTGAAACTCCTCCAGCCCCTTTTCTCTTGCAGCCTCCAGTTAAAGACTCTAGGAATGGCTCTGCACAACAAGGCTTTAGTTTCCTGGATCTTGAAGGTACTCAGTGCACAAGTTCCCCAAAAAAAACCCCAAAAAAAACAAAAAACCAAAAAAATAAAACAAAGCAACCCAGGCTCTTCTGCCTGCCTGCCTCAGTTCAGTTCCTTTTCTGCTTCCAGGAACCATGTTTCTGCTCCATCGGATGCCAGTGGAAGACAAGGAGCGAGAGCCACTCTGCAGGAGCACAGTGGAAAAGGTGCACTTCCCCAGGCTGTGGCACTAGAGTCACCCATCGTTAGCGGCCACCAACTGGCCCATGCCCTCTCGGATGTAGACAGATTGGATCTCCTTGGTCTTGAGGCAGAGATCACAGGCCCAGACGGCAGAGGCCTCGGTGGTCAGCAGGCCATAGGCACTCTCGGTCATGCCAGTGCACTCGCGGTGAAACCACTTCTGGCAGGAGGCCTCACACAAGATGGCATCCTGATCATCGTTCACCTCGCTCCGACAGGCACCGCAAGGGTATACCAGGCCTGGGGGAGGCTGGGGCCCTGAGCCTCCACCTGCCTTGCTGGGAGGTGCCAGACTGTTGGCATCTGGAGTGCCTCCACCTCGACCACTGCTGCTAGGGGGGAAGCTGGGCTGATTCCCATTAACAGCAGCAACTGGGGAGCCTGAGTGGGGCTCCTGGGGAAAAGCAGTGGGGGCAGGTGGATTCAAGGGCTTCCCACCATCCTCACCACCAGGGCCAGGAAACCCAGGGTCTGGACCAGGGAAGGGACTTGTGTTGGGAGGCAGGCTGGGGAGTCCCTGACCAGGTCTCTGAAGAGAAGGACCAAAAGGTGCTCCTGGTTGGGTGAAGCGTTGTGGGAGAGGAGGAGGACCCAGCTCCCCTCTAGGAGGCTGTCCCATGGTGGGTGAGATCATGGGACCAAATCCCCCCACTGGGCCCGGCATCATCTGCCCACCAGGTGGGCTAAAGTTTTGGCCCAGAGACTGGTTGAAGGGTTGACTGGGAAAGTTCATGTTGCCTGGGGGCGGATAGCCAGGGCCCTGAGGAGGCATATTAAAAGCTGGACCCATAGGGTTGGGTGGAAAAGGAGGGGGCTGCCGACGAAGTGGCTGGGGACCCCCTCCTCCTCCAGTGCCATAGCCTGGGGGTACCTGGCCTGCCATGCCCCCCTGTACACGAAAGCCTCCAAAGGGCACCGGACTGCCAAGAAACGGAGGGCCTGCGCCCCCCACCTTAGGGGCTCCAAAGTCATCCTCAAAAGGGTTAGAAGCGACCAGATGATCCACCATGGGGGTCGGGGGCGGGGCAAACTCCGTCAGATGTGAGTATGCAGGACCCTAGTGAAAACAGAAGAAGATGGGAGACAGAGGCAAACAAAGAAAGCACTACTGACACAACACACTCTTTGGAGGCTGACACAGCTCAGATCCAAAACTCTGACTGACCTTAGACATGCTAGAGAGTGCAAGGCAGGGCCCACGGTGCAACACCACCATTTTTTAAAAAGAACAAAACACCAAAAGGCAGGCAGAGAGGGCTGGAGGGATAGCCCAGTGGTTGAGCCCCAGTGTGACTCCCAGTACCCATGTTGGAGGGCTCACATCTCCGGCTTCTTTCAGCACTTGTACTCGCATATACATATAGCTAAATACAATAATAAAAACATCAAGAATCACAAAAAATACAAAATCCAGGTCTGACCCCAAAGTAATTACTTTTTAAAATTTTTTAATTTTGAGACAATGTCTTATATAACCCAGGCTGACTTCATCCTCCTTCCTCTGTCTCTGGGTTGCATAGATCTGGTTTATGTGGTGCTGGGGTTTGAACTCAAGGCTTTGTGCACGTTAGGTAGGCCAGCACTCAGAATATTTAACTTTTTGGTTTTTTGGGGGGACAGTTTCTCTGTGTAGGCCCCCTGGCTGGTCTAGAACTCCCTCTGTCTACCAGGCTAGCCTGGAATTCACAGAGATCTGCCTGACTCTGCCTCCCAAATTCTGGGATTAAAGGTGTGCACCACCATGCCCGGGGAAGTATTTAGCCCGAGGAAGTATTTAATTTTTTAAAAGCCTTGTATTCTCTCAACTTTTATAATAGGAACAACTGGTAAAGCACTGTAGTGTTATGACACTTAGAAAAGACTCAGGAAGCTGGGCCTGGTACATGCCAGTCATGCCAGCAAAGGTAAAAGCAAAGCTGGGCACCTTAAAGTGTCATGCAGGCTGGAGAAATGGCTCACAGGTTTAGGAGCACTTCTGGATCTTGCAGAAGCTCTGGGTTCTGTTCCCAGCAACCACCTGGTAGCTCATAGATGCTTCTCCTCCAGTTCTGGGGAATCTGACCCCGTCTTCTAGCCTCCAAGGGCACCTGCACTCGTCCAGAGGGTCCCCAGCACTGTAGTAACCAGTATGGTGGTACACATCTGGAATCCCATCACTTTGGAAAGCCAAAGCAGGAAGATCATAGAGATACAAAGTCATCCTTGGCCACACAGCAAATATGAAGCCAGCTTGGGACACATGAGACCTTGTATCAAAAACGAAGGGGAAAAGACTGGGCTAAATGTAATCAAGACAGAACTAGGACCAGAAAGGGAAAAGAGAGAAGAGTATTTCCGCTTTTTCTTGATCCTGCACCTGGTGGAAAGCACAAACGAGCAGCCAGGTACACAGCTAGACAAAGCAGGAGGGACTTCTAGGAAATACTTCCACCACAGACCCCCATTTACCTGAGTGTTGGACTTTCTTCGTTTCTTTTCAGGGCTCTTCATTTGCAGACCTGGAAGAGCAGCAATGGGCAGACGGAGGCAAGTTTTCCTGAGGTTTCTACAGTCTCTTTCCTCCCAGCCACTCTCCAGACTCTAACTTCCACGTACACTTGCTTATTTATTTAAGAAACAGGGGTAAAATGTGAAAAACAGCTAGTATGGCTACACTCTCAGCTACATCTTCGTTCAAATCAAAGATAATCCAATCTCTTGAAACTACCAAGTTTTCCTTAATTCAGTGTCCTTCAAAACTTGAAATGTTCTGTGGCACCTGTCCCCAACCACTGACCCTTCTCACCTGAAGCTACCTCCAGGCTCCTAGGCAACCTCCCCCATCCCCCAACCGTTCCATCCGAGGTTCCAGGGTCCTGGGCCTCGACAGGCCCTGCCCTTCTCTGCGCTCTCACCGGCCTTGCCCTGCTTCCTCCCGGTGCTGGGCGGCGCGGGGGGCGGTACGGGGCCGCTGCCTCCCTCCAGCTTGTCCGGTGGGGGCGGCGCCGAGGCGGCCATGGATTGGGGACCCGAGTCAGCGTCGGCGGGGGATAGAGGCGTCCTCAGGCCGCATCATCGCCCGGAGGGGAGTAAGGGGCAGCACAGCCCCCCGGGCAGCAGCAAGCCCTAGTCACGCCGAGAGGGAAAGCACAGAGCCGGAGCACCAACTGCGCGCCTGCTCCAGACTCACCGCCCGCCCGCAGCCACAGCAACCGGAACCGGAACTCCAATGGGCCGCCACCACCAAGCGCGGTGGGGAGGGAAAGCTGGGAAGGGCCCAGACGCCGCACCCAGGAAGGCTGGGCCTCGCCACGCCACTCCTTCGGAGTGCGGCTGTCGCCGCCCCAGCTAGCGTGCTGTGTGGGGGACCCACCACTCCACAGGGTCCGTGCGAGCTCGGGGTGGACCTCGGGGCGGCCCGGACACGCCCCTTCCCGCTTCGAGCCAGTCGCCTTGCAGACACGTCCCTACCGCACAGCCTCGCAGCTCCCCAAATCTCCAGACTGGTGCCAGCGGGCGGGCGCTGGCTTGGAGCCCACTCGACCTAGCCCCGATGGGGTCGGCCGCCACCTCCCACTGACAGCCCCGTCAATCAGACGTTCCAGAGGCGTTGAGAGGCCAAGGTAGAAGAAATACGGACTTTAATGAAGGCTATTTCCCTTTGGTATAAGACATCCAAACCAAAATTAGGCGACAGCCAAGACTGAAAACCAGTCGACCACTCCTTGTCAGAAAGCCTACAGAACGAGCTTGCAAGGTTCCTGTGCTGGCTGAATCTGCCTGCAAGCAGAAGGTAGGATCTAAAGCTATCACATCATAATCCCACAACACTGTTCAGCCAAATTTCTGCTCAGGTGTCTTGAGGAAGAAGAAAAAGAAAAAGGGGGAAAAAAACTCCTGGCCTACTTAGACCAGCGAGTAAAATCCTAACAGTTGTTTAAAAAAAAAAAAAAAGTTTGGAAAAGTCAACTTGGTGATGTATAAATGTAATTGATTATCATAATTCTGTGCTCAAAAAGTCAGCAACGAAAAACAAAATCAAGAAAATAAATCTACAGCCCTAAAATGTATACATGTTTTTTAAAAAAGAGAGAATGCAGTTCCAGACTTGCAAATGGCATTGAGGATTGTCTGCTGCTTCAGTCTCAATGCGTCCACAAAACCCACGTTGACTGTACACATACTGGAGGCCCAAGTCAGTCACACACATCCATCCCAAAAAAAGGCGAGATGGGGTTACAGTAAGGGCTATACTTTGGCTGTAGACTATAACACACATGCAAACATGGGAGGGGCAGGCTTAAGAAATGTATACAGACCCCTTGGAGGAAAGGCATTGAGGTCACGAGGCACTGAGCAAGATGGGTCCAATCCTGCCCTTTCCCTGCTACCACCAGGGAGGGGGCTCTGGGGTAATTGCTCTTTTTGGTTTTTGGAGACAGGTACTTTCTCTATTGCCTTGGCTGTCCTGGAATTCACTCTGTTATAGACCAGGGTGGCCTCACAAATCCTCCTGCCTCCTGAGTGCTTCGATTAAAGGCATGTGACACCACATCCTGGCTTGGGGCAATCTCTTAAGGGCTGCATATCCAAAAGACAGAAAAGATAGCTGCCACTCCTGCCCCTATTCTCCCTAGACATAGGTAGGGGTGCTGAACAGACAGGGTTCCAGAAGCCAAGGTATCAGTAACCCCTGTCCACATCTGAAGAGCCTGAGAATTCTGCATAGAGTATCTGCAGACCTACGATAGTCAAAGGCACAAAGTTTAAGGAGATGCATAGGGAGTCGGATACGTTACGAGGGGTCTGGGGTACCCTGAAGACCAGGAGTAAACCAGAGGTATGATTCTTTCCCTTCCCCCAAAGGGCAATTGCTCCACTGGGCCTATCACCACAGGGCATTTTCCATTGTAAGAACCCACCCTTTGGGGGAAAGGGCATTAGGTTGGCACAGGCAAGGCCCAGACAAGGGACCACTCTGCACATTAATACTTTGGTGAGGTGTGGGCAGAAGCAGGATGCTACCCCAGGCTCCTAACTGAAACCCTATCTCTCAAATGGGCACTAAACCTGTGTTCTCATTGCTCCCAGCTCCCACCCAAGGCCAGACCCACAAAACAGAGGTCCCATGAGTTAGAGAGCACGGCAGAAGGGACTGGAGGGCATCCTTTAGGAGAGGCTGAGAAGGATCACACTTTCCGATCCACAGGCTGCTGTAGACACAGTTCGCTGCCCGCAGAGATGATGGGCAAATGATTGTCCATGTGGTAGCTGATCAGGTGACTGACACTCTCAAAGCGGTGATCCTTTGTCCGAACCTGGGAAGCGGGGAAATAAGGTCAGTTCAGGAGAAGAGTTCAGTAAGACCTTAGCCTCCAAGACTGAGGAAGATGGGCCAGGTCAGCCATGATTTACAGAGCAGATAGTCACACAGATGGGAATGGCTCAGTCAGTGAACTGGGAGAAGGTGAAGGAGACTAGAAATCATGGAAGCTGATAGTGAAAATTCTGACTTGAAGGAAGCTGGTGTCTCTCAAAAGTGAATAAACAAGGCACAAACAATGTGGAAAAAATGCTGAGAAAAGGAAAGAAACTAAGCTGGGCGGTGGTGGCACAGCCTTTAATCCCAGCACTTGGGAAACAGGGCCAGGTGGAGCTCTTGAGTTCAAGGTCAGCCTGGTCTACAGAGTGAGTTCTAGGACTACAACTCCCACCCCCAACCCTTAAGAAAAAGAAGAAAAAGAAAAGAAACAAAGGTTGTATAGAATAGTGAGGCAGGTTAGATTTGTTTAAAAAAAAAAAAAAACAAAAACAAAACCACTGAGTTTGAAGCTAAGGAGTTAGGGAGACTCCTGACTCCTCTTGCAAGAAGAAATTTGGGGGGTCTCCACCCCATAACCATTGACATGGGGCATCACTACCTTTGTAGCATCATTTCCTCACCTAGCAAAAGGGGTTCAGATCAAGTAAGCACTCTCTCTGGGTCTGGTAGGTTTAACTGGGACTTGAGGACTGGTCAGAACTGAAGAGAACACAGCTCAGACTCAAGGATAGCAGGGAAGGAACCTTCAGCCACTGCAGGCAGATCCAAGTGTCTAGCAGAGCACAGGAGGCCCACAGAAAGCCTCTAGCAAAGAAAGTCTAGAAAGCAATAGAGAGAGGAAAAGGTACCTTTTTCTACCCCTACAACTCCTCTGCCACACTTACCACACCTTCAGGGTCCACCAGAAGCAAGTGCTTGGGCTGCCCACTCTGCAGGCCAGTGAGCACATACTGGCCAGGCGTGGTTGTACTCTCTCGCACCAAGAAGTCACCGTTGAGCTGCAACAGTGCTTCAGCCTCCCGCCGGCTCAGCTTCCCATGGAACCAGGACTCCCCTTGGAGCTGCTCAGCCATGGACATGGACTGGGGAGGTGGCGGCACCCGAAGTGCATCTTCAAAGGGCTCTAGGGGTGTGGAGAGATGGCTAGGAGAGCTGGCTCAATATCCACCCAGACTCAGTGTGGGAAGCCGGTAGGGGAGAACAGGCAGAGAAGAAGGAACAATGAAAGGTGGGGCTACAAGAGACTCACTCATGTCAAAGAGGTCTCGGGGTGCACTGCCATTAACAGAAGGATTTGGGGGCCCGGCCCCACCCCCAGCTTGCCGGGCCTTGTCTAGATTCTGGATGTTGACATAGGAGGGGTCATCGAAGAGTTCTCTGCCTGTTAAGGAAAAAAGAGACATCAATCCCAGCCCTGCCTTCTGTACTCAGCTCTGTCCCTTTCAGCAAACTGTTCACACCTGGGCAAGGTGGTGGAGGCAGCATCTGTTTCCGGACTTCATGGTCTCCTGCAGCATGCTGTCCTATAGGCTATAAGAAGAAAAAAACTGGATGAGACCAAGCCCTAGCCAGCCATTCCCACCCTGGCCTTAAGCATCTCCATCCTGGCCCCTTACCAGTGTAGCTCCCAAGTGGCTGGGCACCTGGGCACTGGGCAGAGTAGGTCGAGCAGCCCCTTCCCGAAGCCTCATGTCTACCACCCCACCGAGAGGGGGTTCCTTCCCTGGGAAGTCATTGTAGTACTGATGCTCAGGGGGCTCTTCTTCCTCCTCATCCCAAGCGGAGCCATCAAAGCCAGCCATCCTGAAAAGAGAAGGGTGGAGAGAAGAGGTGGCTGTGAATATGTCGCTAAGAGACCCAGGAAGGGAAGAGAACAGTGAGCACAGACTAGGCATATACTATGGGTCAGCTCGGAGGCTTGATGCTGGAACCCTATAAGGCTGGTATTCCTTTCACAGTTTAAAAAATAGCAATCAAAATTGGGGGTGGAGAGATAAATACAAGGTCTCTCAACTGAAAGGAGATAGATTTGAGATTTCATTTAGTTTGAATTGAAAACTCTCACTTTTGACAGCTATGCTACCTCCTCAGAGGGATGGAACACTATCAAACAAAGAGGATATCCAGAATGATTCCACATACAAAGTCCCTGGTGGCCACACTGTTTATCTCTTGAGACCTGAAGAAAGAAGCCTGGGGATCTCAGGTAAGAGATGCTGGGACTTGGGAAATAGCTCAGTTCATCAAGTGTGAGGATCAGAGTTCAGATCACCAGGACCCATGTGCAAGCCAGGCACCTGTACAATGGTGGCCACCTATAATCCCAGCACTCTTGAGGCAGAGACAGGATCCAGAGTAAGCTGGTTGCTGCTAGCTATATCTGACAAGCTCCAGGTCAGAAAGAGATCCTGCCTCGATAAAGTGTGATGCACCAGAGGAAGACACCTGACATCAGCTTCAGACCTCTATGTGCACACATAGTATATGCCCCACATGCACACACACGTACAAAAAGAAAAAGATATTCTCTTAAACCAGATTTTTCTTTCTTTATCTCTCATTCTTTCTCCCTCCCCCTTTCTTTTCTTCCTTTTTCTCTTTTTTGTTGGTTTCTCTGTATAGCTCTAGCTGTCCTGGAACTCCCTCTGTAGACCAGGCTGGCTTCAGACTCAGAGATCCCACAGCCTCTCCTTGAGTGCTGGGATTAAAGGGATGATTACAATCCAGAGTCTCAATGACCTTCAGAGGCAGGAAAACACAGAATAATGAAGGGGGGTGGGGGGTAAGGTGCTCTGGAGTTAGGAACACTGCTGATCTTGCAGAGGACCCAGGTTTGGTTCCCAGCATGCACATGGCAGCTCACAACCACCTGTAATTCCACTTCCAGGAGATCCAACGCCCTCTTTTGGCTTCCATAGGCACTGCATACACTTGTACACAGTAAATTACACATACACATAAAATAAAAATAAATCTTTTTTTTTTTTTTTTTTGGTTTTTCGAGACAGGGTTTCTCTGTGTAGCCCTGGGTATCCTGGAACTCACTCTGTAGACCAGGCTGGCCTCGAACTCAGAAATCCACCTGCCTCTGCCTCCCAAGTGCTGGGATTAAAGGTGTGTGCCACCACCACTCGGCCTAAAAGTAAATCTTTAAGAAATACAAAAGTGTACAAGAACACACGGATAGGCCAAAAATGAGGAACTTGAGAATTAAATATTCATCCAGCCAGAAAAAGCAGTCTAGTGGGAGGGGCTGGAATATAACTCCATCCTAGGCAAATAAAAGGATGAAACTGTCTCTGCAGCAGGTATGGCCCTCCAGACTTTCTCACTGAGCCACTGAAGAGATAACATGGCAGAAGAGGGAAGCAGGGTCAAGCATGAGAAGAAACCTACTTCCCAACCCCAGTCTGAGGCTCAAGAGTTGCCTCACTGTCTTCCCACCAGCTCACCTGTCATGGGGGGTGACCAGCTTGGGTGGATTCCTGAGATACTGTTTGAAGCGTAACTCAAAGGCCTGCCCGATGGTGCTGATGACATCCTGAGCAAGCCCTTCAGGACACTCCAGGATATGGCAGGCTGGACACAGTGGAGATCACCAATGAGCTCTGAGGAAGGGTGCTGGGAGGACATGTGGGTGGGAGCCCCCGCCCCCAGTCCTTTCCAGCAGGATAGCCCTGAGTGTAAGTGATCATGCTTGCTTCTCAGATAATTGGCCTCACCCAGTGCTGCCCACAAGCCTCACCTCTCTGATTCACAGGGTCTTTGGCAACATAGGCAACATACTCAGCTGTGTCCTGGAGAGAGTAGATTCAGGAGACCAGTTAGCTAGAGCTTACAACTCCTGACCCACTAAGACCATCCTTTCAGATAGTTCATAGTCCTTGCGCCCCACTACTTTAGCCAGTATCTTTTCTCTCCCTCCCTCTTTTGTTTTTTTCAAGAAGAATTTCTCTATATGGCCATGGCTGTCCTGGTACTCAAGAGAGTCATCTGCCCCTTGAGTGCTGAGACTAGTGAGACTAGTGTGTGTCACCACACCCAGCCCCTAGCCAGCATCTTTTTAGTCCCTAGTCTCTTCTTCCCCACCCGTCTTTCCTCTGTTCCCCAACTCACCGGATCCCCACCAGACGCGAATGAGATAGATTGCATGTGATGGTTGGCAATGATCTGATGAGGGTGGGGGATGGAGAAGGAAGGGAATGGTAAATGTCAGGCAGCCTCAGGACTCCGCATGTACCCCAACCCCGCATTGAACCTTGGAGCCCCAGGCTCATTCTCTTGGTCTTTCTTCTTTTGGTGGGGGGAGGTACAAGGTCTCACTATGTAGCCCTGACTGGAACTCAAAGGCATTCACCTGCCTGGGCCTCCTGAGTGCTGGAATAAAAGGTATCACTGTTCTCAACTTTTCTAGTTTCTTCCTCCCCTCCTCTCCAGTTGTTCCTGAGGACGCCAAGTTTTTGGCCTCTGAGCCCCACTTGATGCTCCCATAACTATCTCTGGTCCCTACCCACCTGTTTGCAGTCTGCTGCCATGAGGTTAAGGCTGCTGGTAGACACAGTGAGAGTGATTGGCATTCCAGCAAACTTCAGGTTACTCCTCCCCAGGATAGAGCCGAGTGGGCGGCTACAAGGCTAGGAAAGGGCCCAGAGTCTCAGAATCTGAGCTTTCCCAGTATTAGGAAACACTGTTTTCTTCTGACATTCCCTGCATCCCCCTGCCTCCAATCACCTAGTCCCAACAACCACATATACCTTTCTCCTCCTTGTCGCCCCTTTGGCACCAGGCACAGCTTCACACACCAAACTGATGGCCTCCCTGGAGAAACAGGAGTACTCAGACCCACCACAGGCCTCCCCCGGCTGGGGCTGCCACAGAGCTGGGGGAAGGGAAGACCAGGCCAGATTCCCAGAGCACTCCAGGCTCTTTGTCGTGGTGGATTGAATTAAGGGCCTTTAATATTTGATGACACCGAGGGGCCGCTTCCTGGCTGATTGGGTTAGGGCCTCAATGGCTATAGCCCCACCTCTTCCCAGCTACTGAATGTTCCATTCCCTTCCCCAAACCATTAGCAACCGCCTACCCCTGCCTTTTCTAGTCCATCTTCCCACAATCTCCAAGGCTAGATAGATAGGTAAGGTGGTGCTCCAGACCAGAGCTGGCTCTTTTTAGTCAGACTTACTTCTGTAACTTTCAATTCTCTGACCACCCATGAGAAGTCACCATCAGCACCACCACAAAATGCCCAACTTCCTCCTCTCCCTTACTGAGACTTCTGTAACTTCAGTAATCCTAAGACTACAGTAATACACCCGCCTTCCCACTAACCTGGTGACCTGTGTCCGGGTATTGAAGTCAAGGGCTCGCATTGACTGTAAGACCTCCACACAACCCATGTACTGTAGGGGAAGAAGGGAAGACTGGATCAGCTGTCCCCCTCCCCGACCCCACATTTGCCAGCCCTTTGCAGAAGATTCCAGGGCTTTGTGCCTTGTGAAGTCCTTAGTCTTAGTACCTTAGAAGGGTAAAGGTGACGTAGCCTTCCTACAGCCTGGGACTACCACCCCATAGGAGTATGGCAAGGGGGAAAGAGGAGAGAAAGACCACATGCACCACAGAGAGACTGTGAGAGGAGCAGCAGGCACTGGGTGGGATGGAGTGACATCTCTGGAAAAGGGAGGAGTCTTGAGGGAAGAATCAAGAAGTCATTTTCATTCAACTTTTACTAAAAGCCTCTGATGTGCTTGGGCATTGTGTAAACTGGGGGGTGGGGACCAAAGGAGGAAAGGCAGAAGATTTACAGGCTAAATTAAGGGCAGAGAACTGGAGAAGGAATCCACCAGGTCTGAGAACTAAGAGAATGGCACAGATGTTGCTGGGCGAAGAGCAGGAAGTGCCAGCAAATCTGGAGTGAGCACAGGAACTGGAAGGGGTATTGGGGGGGGGGATGTGCACTCACCCGAACCAAGTAGGGAACCCCAGGTCCCATGACTTTGTCGTTGGGATGCAGCCAGCCTCGTGTGGGCTTATTGACAAAGCTCCCGTGTCTGGTCCACTCCTCGCCCCCCAGCTGGCCCCCTTCTACCCGAGTCCTGCGCCCGCCGCCTCCACTCAGCTTGTTCATGTCCTGGAGGAGGGGCAAGAGGCCTGAGTCCCGAAGGGCTGCCCCTGCACTCCCTTCCCCATCTTCAGCAGCCTTTCCTGGCTCCCCTTTAGGCCCCAGGCGCCCCCCAGCAGGATTGGCCAGCTTCAGGTTGCTCATCCGGGGAAAGAAGGAACACAGGGTAGTCGGACTATCGTCCCCTGGCAGAGGAGGCAGAATGGGTCCCAGGGATGAGGCTGATGGGGAAGGCAGCTCCTCCGGTGGGGTAGACCCTGAAGCCCCCTCCTCCAGCGATGACAGAGACTCATTCCGAAGTGGGTTGTACTTCGGCTTGGGGGGTAGAAGATCCATGGCTGGGGTGAGAAGGGGGGCTGCTGCCCGGCCCGGCCCCCCTGCCAATTCAGGCAAGGGGGCCAGGCAGGGGGCATCCCCAGGCCCTTAGCCTAATCTGACCTCGGCAGCCCGGTGATGACAGAGGACCTGGGGAGGCGAAGGACAAGTGACCTCTGCTCTCCCAACTCAGACCTAGACAGTTTCAGACCGCATCCTTGCCCAGCCCAGCTAGGAAACCTCTTCTGGCTCAGTAAAGTACAGGCTGGACCCAGAGCTTACTGGCTCCTCCCCAGGGGCGGGGAACTAAGGAGAGAGACCAATCCCCAGGACAGTGCTGACTCACAGGCTCAGAGGGGCTGAGACACCTCCCCGCACACTTTGTGCTAGCCAGGCCGCTCTCCCTAGTCCAATACAAACAGCTAGTAATCTGGGAAAAAGGAGGTGCCGTGCAGGAAAGAAAGATGGAAGAATAAGCAAAAGAGAAAAAAGAAAGGAAGGAGTTAAGAGAAACTGGACAAGTCCAAACCGACAAGGGCAAGCCAAAGAGAGCAGGAAGACAGGGAGGGATAGGAAGGAAACAGAAGCTTCTGGGCGCTGAGTGGGGAATTGCCCCCCAGAGTTTAGCATTTCCTTTCCAGTCCCGACTGAAGACATGAATCCCTCACCCACTAGCCCAGACCACCCCCACCATACAGTGAGGCGGTAACTCTAGGGAACCTGGGCCATTAGCATCCTCCACCACAACAGCTGTGGACCAGAGCAGAGAACCAGGGAGGGAAAGTAGTCCCAGTGGATGTAGTGCGAGGCCGAGAGGAAAGACAAAGCTGAAATAGGAATAAAGCCCAATTTGGGCGGTGCATCTGGCGGGTACCAGGCAAGAGCTAGACCAAGCACGTTTATACAAGTCACCAAGAACTTCCCAGAGGCCTAGTGAGGAAAACCTCAGAGGATATAGAGAGATCCTGCCACTCCTTGGACCTACAGATAAACTTCTACTCCTTATAGACTGTAAACCCCAGCTGACAGTGTACCTCACACTAGTAGAGGAGTTGGCCTTGGAGGTAGGAGAAACAAACGGAACTGGTGCCTACAAGCCACAAAGGGATAATAGGGCCATAAACAAATCTGTGTTAATAAAGACAGGAAGGAGAAAGGGATATCAGAAGTTGGAATCTGGCCATAAGTGCATAAGAATACCAAACTCTTATTTCTTTGCCCACAGTTTCCTGCCACAGCTCTGCTAAAGGCCATTCAGGAAGTTAAAGTGACCAATCAAAATAGCTCCCGGATAAACTACTGCTTTATTCCCTCTAAAAAAAAAAAAAGTAACCAAATACAAGAAATAAAAGATACTTTTTTTTGTTTGTTCTTTGTTTTTCAAGACAGGGTTTATCTGTGTAATGACATTGACTGCCCTGGAACTTGCTTTGTAGACCAGGATGGCCTCGAACTTACAGAGAATCACTTGCCTCTGCCTTCCAAATAGTAGCACTTAAACCAGGTTAAATACCATGCTTCACTCTTTCACCTGTTTTTAGTCTCCATCCCAGGAAAGCTGTTACTGAACACCACTCCTCTTCCTAAAAAGAAATTATGTCATTCTGTTTGCTAAGTCCTCAGCTCTTAGGCACAAGAGGAAAAAATCTGCCACAGCCTTACACTCCCAGTCACACAAACACACACCATGATGTCATCTTGAGACATGGATTTCCGTGGGAGCTTTCCTATCCAAAAGCCAGGAATGATCAACAGGTGTGCACATTTGGAAGAAAAAGTAAACATGAGCCTTTAAATGTGCATAGAGATAGCCTACAGAACCAAAGGCTAGGTAGTGGGGGCAGGAGAGCCGCATTAAACACCTCAGCACAGCAGGGAGGAAGCTGGAGGGGCAGGAAATAGCAGGAAATAGCAGGAAATGGCGAAAGCCTCAGGAATGTTTCCAGCAGGGAAGGTTAGGCAAGTGGGGCCAGGATGAATGCCAAACTAGCCTATCTGGTTAGGGGGAGGGGTCTTGTAAAAACAACGGAAAGGACACGAACCCCTACTCCTGTCTCCAAAACAGTTTTTCTTCTGACAGCATAAAAACTTTCACTCCTGTTAGGCTCACACGAATCAATGTTTAGTCCAATCCAGGTATGGGAAGGTGCCATCTATGGCTGTCTTTGGGATGGGGTCTACCCCCAGAAAGGAGCGGAGTCAAGAGTCTCGAGAAAAACCATTCCTTCATCCACTGTCCATCCGTAAACGAGACGCAGCCCCTTCAACTTAACTCACTCTCAGGGGTTACAGGAGGGAGGAACGACGCTGCCAATAAGCTTACTCTTTACAACCACAAATTTCAACCTTCCACCTTATGAGCACCAGAGCTCAGGAAAATTAAGCTCAAGGCTTAAAGCAAGGAGAGAGATATAGAAGCGGATGAAACGTCCGGACCAGGGTTTTGCGGCACGGACCCAAGCCCAACAGGAAGGAAAGTCCTGAGGGGACCAGGTCCCTAACAAGAAGTGCGGCACATTCCCAGGATCAGACGTGGACAGTGGAAGGGGCGGGTCCCAAAGGGGCGGGGTCCCAGAGAGGCGTCACTTCTACAAAGTCAAATCGTTCTTTCAAAAGCAAGGTTTTCCCTCTTTTGGAAGCCTGGCTTTTGATAGACTAGGTTTTGCCGAGAATCCTGAAGAGGCAGTTTCAGAGAACTAGAAAGGTTAATCTTATGGTGCTGGGCAACATGTCTGCAGGTGGGATTCCCAGGAAGCAAGACCACAGGGTGTGGTCGCGATAAGAGACAAGTCGGGGTTCAGGGAGCCCCTTGAAATTGGAAGGTGGGACTTCCGGAGAGGGGTCTCGGGGGGCGGGACTTATACAGCAAGACCGGAAGTAGAGACCTGGGAGAGGGGTTCCGGGGTGGAAGAGGAGTGGGTCGCCACAGAGAGAAAGTCTAGACTTACCAGGGTCGCATGGAGTCTCCGCACCGCACCGCGGGCCGATCTGGTTCCGGATCAGGCAACTGTCTGCTTAAGTCACCGCCCCAACTTTCACCCCGGCCTGGGCCTCCCCAGACAAACTTTATTACACTCACTTCCGGCCTCACTAACCCCTGACCCCCTACCTCTCCGTCCCTCCTTTACCCGTCTGCTTTCCAAGGCTGGCCAATGACTGCGCGAGCAAGCGCAAGGGACGCAGTGAGAGCCAATAAGAATCCTAGTTTGACCCAGCTCATTCTTCAGAAACCTGAGCACTGCAATCCATTTACGGCTTGAGGAGACGCCAATGCAAACCAATCGAAGACTTCAAAATGGAACTGTCCCGCCTTCGGCCGAAGAGACCAATAGGAAGTGCGGGCGGTGTGTTTGAAAGGAAGGCCAAAGAGGGTGGGAGCGCGTGCTGCTGGGAGTTGTCTGGAGGCCAGCGGCGCAGGGCTGAGCGCCCTCAGGCAGAGCAATCATGTCTCACAAACAAATCTACTATTCGGACAAATACGACGATGAGGAGTTCGAGTACCGGTTAGTGCCGGCGCGGGGACTACAGCCAGGTTGTCCGCCTTGACTAAAGAGAGCACACGAGGAGTTAGTTACCTAGGCCGAAGGGGGAGGCGGGGGATGGAAGGGGAGGGAAAACAGTGTAGAACTGGCGCGTGCGCAAGAGATTAGCGGGGAGGGGGGGGGGGGTGGGATTGTGTGCAGCAGCAAAGCACATGCGCAAAAAGTGGACGGAGGTTGTAAAACAATGAAAGGGAATTTGGAGTTGGCCGGCTGTTAATACAAGCGTGTTGTAGTTCTGATCAGTTTCGCCTTTGGGAATTCACATCACTAGCACAACTTTGTTGTGGCAAGTTAATTTCCCTAATAGGAACTGCTCACGTTACTGAAATCTCAAAGTCTGCTAGGAGAAAGAAGGTAGAGCTGAAAGTTTCGTGCTCTCGATGAAAGGACAGTTCTAAGAAAGCCTCAATGTTGGCGGTTATTTATGAAAAAGAAGAGTGGTTGTCAGCCTTGTTTTAGATAAGAGTTTACAGGACTTGGAGTGGCATGAAGACGGTGGACGTAGGTAGATATTTTTCAAATACTTGAGCATTAATGGCGTGCATAGAGGTTTCAAGTGTTCTGTTAAGGTGCAAGGTAAGCTGGTATGGTAGCTCACACCTTTAATCTCAGCATTCTGGAAGCTGAGGCTGCAGGATTGTCCCAGAGTCTAGCCTAGATTAGGCTACAGAATGGAACCTTGTCTCAAGACAATAAAGTGCAAAGTAATGTATGGCTAGTGCTTAGGACAGACTTAAAAATCCATGGAATAAAGAGTCTAAATGCTGGCTATCGGCCAAGAACTGTAAGACATTCTTTCACCAAATATGCAAGCATGTGTGAAAGTGCTATGCCCATGAATTTAAATTGAAGATAGGGGAAGACAAGCTTCTACAGAGGTTCATTACACTGGTCTGTATCACTTGTAATACTTAACTTCCTAATTTGTATTCTCCTTAGAGAGCATAAAATGAAAACTAGCTTTTCTGTGTCTCCCTAAACGTATCCTACTTCAGACACCCTGGAGAACTGGGGTGTTATTGACAAACACAACCATCCTTTATTAGCAAGAAAAAACCCCATAGGGTTGTACTGACAGTCACCTGGGTCTCAGAAACCAAACCTGTCCAGCTGCTTTGTTTTTGGATGGGATAAACAATCACATGCCTTCTGGACCCAGGTAGCTTTTGTACTTAGCTGTTTTCCATGTGTGTAACAATGTTACACTTACAGCATTTACATGGCTGGAGAAATGAGAGCCTTCATCCCAAGAAGCTGTAACTCTAGCCTACCAGTGGCATTTTTGTTTAAAGTAGGGCTTTGTTTGGGTTTCATTTTGCTTGTTTGTTTGTTTGGTTGGTTTTGTTGTTGTTTTGGTTCTATGCATCGAAGTCTCAATTGTGTGCCTAGGACACCTTAGGATGGAAGTTCTTTTCTGACATTTGGACTACAATTTGGGGAGGAGGGGGCTCTTGTTACTACTACAGAGGAAGCATTTCTTCATTGAGCATGATAAAGTAAGTCCTTGAGGTAGTCTGAGTCAAGTCTGGTAATTTTTTGTCATAAACTTTTGGTTGGGAAAGCTTGTAATTTCCCAAGTATCATAGCACATCCCTCAGAAGTATGAACATTTACATGTTTATCTTCATACGTGTTCAGTGCCCCACTCCATAATAGACCTTTCCTCTCCACACAGTCCTAGAGTGGGTAGAATGGGTAATCAGCTAGAGGACTGTAAGGCCTGTAAAGTCAAAGGAGAAACAAATACCATCAGTGTCAGGCGCGGTGTCACACACGTGGTGACTCGCACCCAGGCAATCATCCATCAGATTGTTCATCTGT